TATACAAAGATTTGTACTCAGTGTGGGGATAAAGGCTGTTTGTCATAAAGATGCTTGAAGAGTGTGTAAAAGGCAATTTGATGTTCATAATTCTTTATTCTCTTACAGATGTTTCAGTGAAGGATCTTACAGTGTGAATTATTAAACTGAGTAATTTGCAAAGAACTTAAAAACAGCTGGTTTTTAAAAAATTATTTAAGCAGCATACTATTTGGATTTACCAGAGATAACTAAGTCCAGTTCACAAACAGAAAACTTGCACAGTGTTATACAGATCACTTAACTATTGCTTATCAGGGCATCACTCCTGAATAACCAGCAAAGACTGCAAGAGTTCAGAAGTCATTGCTTCCACAGACCCCTCTTTGTCTTTCCCTGCACCGGTACAGCCACAGCAGTAGGTGCTGTAGGTGTAACAATTCAAGACTGCAGTTTAAAAAAACCTCGCTTTTTGCGGTGCTAAAAGGCTCAGAAACTGAAAGGAGCACTTGGTGCATGTCAGTTAACTGAGCTGCAATTGCCAGAGGAGCTGGCCTGGGGAATACTCAGCACCACCCCAGTTGCCAGCCTAGAAGGAGGAATGTTTTGCTCCCAGAAGAGCTGAGGCACATCTCTGGAGAAGAAAGGTCATTTCCCAGGCTGCGTGGCTGCCCAGTTGTCTTTCCTACACCTACATTTGAGAGGCATTTCTACTGTGAGCCAGGCATGTTGCAAACAATTAAAACTATGTAGCCTGCAGGTCAAACAAGCACACAAAGAAAATCATTATGTTCATTAAATAAAACTTAGTCATTTTATGATCAATGACAAATCTAGTTTTAAAGGAAGGCCATTTTTAACTGAAAAAGGAGCAGCCAAAGGAAAAAAAAGTCTCTATCATCTCCATTTTTGCAGTTATAGCAAAACCTATCAGTGAAATTTTGCAGAACACGGTCTTACATATGCATTTTTTGGCACTGCCTAGGGCAAGAATTCCCAAATGACTGTGTATGTACCACTGAGAGTATATACAGACACCTCGGTGTGGGAAAAGATGCAGCACAGAACTGGAACCTGTTACCACTGTCAGTACAGAAAAGTGTGGGAATCTCTCAATGAGGAATTCCGCTCAGTTTTCAAGTCTTGTTTTTGACTTGCATAACAATTTTTGGGTTGGGGGGTCATTTAAGTAATTTTTTCTGTATTCATTGTTTCCTCTCTGCTTTTATGCTCTGTAAAATGATTCAAACCCAACTATTCCACAGTTAATAGATCATTTCCATTCATACCAAGATTGTCCCAAGATCTTCACTGTTCATTGGGATATATTTTTCATGTATAATACCGTACTTACAGATTATGCACAGTTTGGTGGTTTCTGTTTTCTCATCTTTTTTAAGGCAGAAAAAATCTGGAAGCATTCTCTCAAGTCTTCTGAAAGATGTAGTTCCAGGCACTGGTCGTGTCACAGCACAAGTGATTGTCTGGGTCACTGCTATGAAACCCGTTCAGTGTGTGGCCGTGCTTTCTCCTCTTCAGCGCTTTGCGTTTACGTCTTTAACCTTAAAAGCTCAGAGTCTCATTGCATGTGTCCTCAAAGGGTTTATTACATTAAGATTTCATTTACTGGTGCTATTTGAATAGAAATTATTGTTTTATAGAGTGATTATTACAGTCGCCAAAATGGCAGAATTTATGAGAAAGAATGCATATAGACACAGATTTGTAACTTTCATTCATTTCACTGCTGCTACAGCATTTTCAGTTTGTGTCTACTGTAATTTCACATCATCCCTACCACATCCTTTCTTCAGATCCTGACTTGCAGGGGCACCTTCTGTCTCTCTTCATGCTCCTCAACTGCCTTGACAGACTGGAAGTGGGGTGGTGCTTGTGTTTCAGATTTGCTTCTCTAGTGTGGTTTTATGAAATTAGAAAGAGGGCCAAGTCAGCAAGCTAACATTTTTGAAAAATTGCCTTTGTTTAATGGAAATCACCTCTTTTGTAAGACTGAACTATAGAGCTGCAACTTTGCTATGTATTTCATTGTACGTTGATGACATCTGGTAAATATAAAAGTAAAGCTCAGGTGATTCTTGAGTGTTACCAGAAAACTGATGTAGGTACAGCTTCATTGAGGAGGTTGTTAACTGTGTGTTACTTTTTAAAGCAGTCTACTTTCATATGAGCCTGCTATATGCTCCAGTAATACAAGAAATCAAGAGGGAATTAGCTGTCAGTTGGAGGACTGGTTAGCATGTTTCTGATGTGTTTGTTTGGTTTTCTTTTAATTACAATTGTATGGGAGGATTTTTTCAAGAGTGGTGAGAAGCACCATGTCCAGCAGCACCCACTTAAACAGTTTTGCTTCACTGATGTTTCAGTATTTGGATCTTCTCAGATAAGTCTTAGGAAAGTTTGTCACAACTGCTGGAGGTGTGTGGGTGAGGTTGCTCTTCAGTGACAGGGTAGCCAGAAGTTTTGTGTTTCTTCATCTAACAGGTGCTTTGGTAATAGTTTCTTAGCATCTAGAGAAATATTAAGATAACAAGATTTGTTGCAATAACACAACTGGGTTTTGTATTGAGAAGTTGTTTATCCCACATGAAGTGAGGCGAGATGTGTTTCAGATTTGCATCTCTTTGGGCATGTGGCAACTCAGTACTGGACAAAGAGGTTAGCTGTGTTCCACAATCATTTGTCTCCTGGCAAAGAAGGGGCTTAATATGTGGTAGCAGACAACTAAAAAGTCTCTAAGATACCAAATGTAATAATGAGAGGTAAAAAGTCATAGTTAAAATTATGCCTACCATAGATCCTTAGTCGTGATTTTCCAGGTTTTTTTCATTTTCTATCCGTGTTTGTTGATTGCCATTTTCATGCCATCCACCTGTCGTTTTAATCAGAGACCGTGTTACAGTTTGCTGAGCTGGTGACTTACAAACTAGCTGCTGGGGTTTTTAGCAGCCACCTTCAGTGCTCTTGAACAACAGCTTCATTTTCCCATTCTTGCATAGACTTGCTGATTTATCTGTCACATGTTTTTTTTAAGTCCATTCTTTTTTAAGAAAGTTTTTTTACTGTTGTTGATTAATTGAAAAAACACATAAATATAAATTAAGAGGAATCTGATTCTCTAATTCTGTTTGGTTGCATGCCATGTATTTATAGATAGACGTAGAGATTTCAGTGTTCAGTGATCAGGCACTGGATCTCTCAGGCACAGGCTGTGTATGCTTGATGCTTGATTTCTTCCTCAGTGTGGTGCCCAGTAATGTGCCCAGATATCCTACAAAACTAACAACAAGGGAAAAAACTGCCCTGCAGGTCTTATAGTCTGTTTTGGGTGCAGCAGGGGGTCTGGCAGCTCATAAACTAGACCAGAACATAAAGAGCAATACAGAATAAGGATTGGAACAGGGATTAGATAAATGACACTGCAGTTTTTCAGGTGGTTTTTTTCCTGTGCTTTATTTTCATGCCTTGTAATCCTGCATGATTCTGTTCATAGGAGGACCTGCCACTTCCTAAAAAATGTCCAAAGCATCCCAAGCATTCCCCAAAACTGACAGAGTGCCAGGAAGGGAAGTAAGGCTTGGGAAGGGAGAGGATGGAGGTTGTTACCAGGAAAAAGAGAAAAGCAGCAGCAAAACAAAATGTGTAGTGGGGGAAGGAGAGAATCACAGAGAAATACATACCTCAGTTTCAGTGCCTGTGGTGGGAGGCATTCTGTTTCTCAGCTTGTTTTTGTTAGCTGTCTATGTTCATAATTGAGCTAGCTGCAAAAAGGATGTTGAAAAGAGAGAAAAAAAGCATTACTGTGGCACGAGCCCAAAATCGCATCCCCAGCCTGCACACAAGTGGACATTGCAGTGATAGGGGGGAAATCCCTTAACGGACAAAACTATAAATGAAACTACTGTTGACAAGGGGAAGAGGCACAGCTATATTTAACGGAAGTATTTTCATTTGAAAGCAGCTGCCTTTTTTTTTCTTCTTTTCTTTTTTTCTTTTTTTTTTGGCTTTGTTTTGTTTTTTTTTTCTTGTCTAGTTGGTGGAGACCGTGAGGGCTCTTCCTGTTTGAGACAGTGCATGGGTGGTTTCCCCAAGGCTTTTAATGTTAGATTAATGCTCTGGAGACAGTGTGATGATAAATGGGTTCCTACAGTTATATCTACATCCTGTTCCCCCTCCCCCCTCCCGCAGCTGCCCCTACGTGCAGTCGCTCTGCAGCACTTGCCTTCATACCCAGCAACAGTTCTGAGCAGCTTCAGCCAGCATTTAAGGCAACACTCTTTAAAATTTGTCCACCAGAATTCTTTGATTTTTGGTGCCATCACCTTCATTGCTGCTTATTTACTCAGACAATGACAAAAATGAATTCTGGCTAAAATACAGGCTGCCACACTGGCTTGTCGTGTGCTGCCTGGCAGATCCAAATTAATTACTTTTGCTGTTACTGTTCATATACAGAAAATGGGTCTTTCTGTAGTTTCACATTTTAATGGTAATGCTCTGCCCATCATAGTGTACTCAGCAATAAATGAGAGAATTTTAAATCCCTGGTATAAGGGAATGGCTCCCCTATGTCAGCTGCATCTATGCCTGGATTTTATACAACTTGCACTCTGGTAGGGATTTAAGTGTGCAGCTTCAGCAAACACCCAGCACTGAAATTCAGCAAGGGAAATGGAGATTTGAGGCACTTTTTTTTTAGCAGAACCTGCCTTGTGGCAGTTGCTGGTTTTTATGTGTTTTGGTTTGGGGCTTTTTTTGTTTCAGTTGGTGCAGTTATTTTTCTCTGCCTGCATTTCCATTTCTTTACACCTCCCCAGGTGGTGGGGGATGGGCAGTCAGGATGGCTCTGGTTGACCTCCCAGGCTCCGTGCAGCCAGCCCACGTCCTTCTGCTTACACGGCAGCCTCTCTCAGATCTCAGGACAGAATTATTTTTAGACCATGAAGGTGTATCTGACTGGTGCATTTAGATTTCATGTCATGGCTTCCTTTTCCTGCTCTCAGGTTTCTCCCACTCGGCCTTTACCTTCGGTATCGAGAGCCACATCAGCCAGTCCAACATCAACGGAACACTAGTGCCACCTGCCGCACTCATCTCCATCCTCCAGAAGGGGCTCCAGTATGTGGAGGCTGAGATCAGCATCAACGAAGTAAGTACCACCAACCCCCTCCCCCTGTGCCACCGCCACTGCCACCGCTGGCCAGCACTCTGGAACGTGCCGAGCAACACATCCCAGCAGCCCAGAGACTCTTGATCTGCTTTCATTTTATTCCTCGTACCTCACCCCATCACCAGCAGAGAGCTGAAAAACTCTGAGGTAGAGACGTATTTCAGTTTTTAGCTGTGGCATTGAGGCCTTCTTTGTGCCGTTTAAATGGATATTAATGGTGTTTCTGCTACCCCAGTCAACAGATGTGGGGTTCAGCAAAAAAGAAAAGCCACCTGTGTTTTTACATTGTCGTGTTTTCAAGGTCACAGCAGAATTTGGCAGGGAAAACGTGCAGTGTAGTTTAAAACTTCACTCCCTGACACCTCCTAGCAGGCAGGACTGCTTGCAAGCCATGAGAAGCTTGATCAAAAATCCATGGAGGTCACTGGAGAGTGATTTCAGTGACTTTGACTCAGATCGTGTAAGACCAGGCATCCTGTACGTGGCGAAACCGGTGTTTGCAAATTCTGATTGTGTCCGGGGTGCAGGGGATTGTATGTGCAGCAGGTCTGTGGGGATTGTATGAGCAGCCACAAAGTGTCTGTTCTCCTTGAACTGCCAGGGGAAACAAAGAAGGGATGTGGGAAAAGCCAGTGGTTTTGCCCTGCCAACCTTAAAGACATGATGCTTTGAGAGGTAGTGAAGCATGACAGATAAGCAAGCACTGCTTTACAAGATATTTACCATAGATATTTGTGATTGACAGACATCTGTAATAAATATTAATACAAAAAAGCTGTTGCTTTTTCCTCTATACCTGAATGTAGCATGTGAACAGCATGGGGCAGAACAAAGGATATAAAATAAAGAAAAGGTGGTGTTGTTTGAAATGTGTAGTTTGAAAACTCTTTTCTTTTTATCCAGACATTCTGTCTGGTTTTCTTTTTATGACTCGATAATCACATATAAGATTTGTGTATGTGTTATTTTGTAATTGGGTAATGGCATTTGACATTCACGCCAGGCTGCACTTTGATGCAGTTGTAATAACAAACTGGTGTTAGGAAGCTGTCCCAATTTGCTGCTGCTTAACATTTTGCCCCATACCTGAAGTTGGAGCCACACAGTTAGAAACCTACAGCTGTGAACAGCACCTACATCAATTCAGGATGTATGACACCTGTAGGGGCCTGCTTTTCATGCGTCCAGCTTCAGAATTGCCCTGAATTGAGAGAATAATTTTAAAATATACCTGTTGTCACCGTTAAGGTTTATGTTGCCCTCATCATGGTTTGATTCAAGTTGAATAAGGCCCTGAGCAACCTGGTCTTAGTGGAAGGTGTCCTTGCCCATTGGCAGGGCTTGGAACTAGATGTTCTTGAAGTTCCCTTTCAACCCAAGCCACTGTATGGTTCTGTTCAAATACATACTCTTAAATATGTTACAGCAAAGCAAAGGCCATTTTTGCTACAACTGAATGCCGGTAAGGGCTATGTATATGCTTCTCTCTGTGTTACTTTTCTACCTGTATTACTTAAGAGTGGCAAGTAATCGGTAAACTACTGTGTATAATCTGTAAACTAGTGTGTATAAAATTATTGTTTCTGGTGTGTTGAGGGCAGTCATAATCCAGTGAGCAGTTTTACAGTTGAAAATGTAAGGTGGCAAAATCCATTGACAAACCTTTTGTTTATTGCCTAGCAAGGATTTGAGTCAATATTCAAATAAATGTCAGCAGAGAAATTTACATTAAAAAATGTTGAGGATAAAGAGAGATTATATTTTTCTTGTCTGATGACTCTCTTTTCTTCACCATGAGGAAACAAATATATGTTATCTTTATATTTTAATTTTAAGGGGTAGTTCAGTGACTAGTCCAGCAGAAGCATACCAGTCAGGCAGACAGCTACTTTTCCTTATTAATTTTTAGTACCTATTGAAAATTATATTGTTTACCAGTTACATCATCTATCCATACCCTAATCTTATCTGCTATTTCTCAAGCACAAATCTTTCACTGCTGGACCATTATTATTTCAAAGAATTAAAGGGAGTTTGCAGAAGATTGGTAAAATGGCACTTTATAAAGACTGGTAAAATATTTTTCCTGTACTTAATAGGAAAGTGAAAGAAAAGCTAAGTAGGTATAGCAGTTGTTGACCTGAGTCTGTGTTAAGTCTTAAAAAACATCCTTTAAAAATTTATCCAATTAGTTGTTAAATCTGAAGCCTAATTTACAGAAATCAAAATAAAAGTCATTACTATGAATAAAAGTATTGGAATAAATGAAAACTAATGGCAGAGCTGTCCTTTGCAACCAGCTGCAACGGGTGGTGCTAGGCTGATGAACACTGCGTAAGAAACCACTGATTTTGTGCATACATCATGTTTTGGCTGAGTTTCATTATTCATCAGCTTCTTCCATTCCATTCCTATGCTCCTGCAAGTGCAGGAAGACAAACAGTTTAATGAAAGTCTGTTTGCCTTTGTCATGGCTTTAGCCATGGCTCTTTTTTTCCAAATAGAAAACAAAGTGAAACCTTCTGTCATCCATCAGACATATTTTTTTCCCACAGCATAATTTCTGTTGCATCTGTAAAGCATTTATATAGTTGGATTTTCTGTAGAAATACTTCTTCACTGAACAGATTTCTAAGTGGACCATGAGTACCATCGTCATGGATCTGAGAGAGAGCCGGTCCAGTCATGTGGCACTGTTGGTTAAGTCAAAGTACAGTATCTTCACACAACCTGGTTTTGTTTCCCTACATCATTAACCTCTTTGTCAGCCTCAGTGGTGACAATCCTAAACTTGGGGTTTTGCTTCTGCTCGTTTTCCCTGCAGGATGGTACAGTATTTGACGGCAGGCCAATAGAGTCACTGTCTCTGATAGACGCGGTGATGCCTGATGTTGTTCAGACCCGACAGCAAGCGTTCAGAGAGAAACTCGCTCAGCAACAAGCCAGTGCAGCGGCAGCAGCAGCAGCAACGGCAGCGACAGCGGGAGCAACGACGACTGCTGTTTCCCAGCAGAACACACCAAAGAACGGAGAAGCCACTGTGAATGGAGAGGAGAATGGGGCACATGCAATAAGTAAGACAATATGCCGCTTCTGGGCAGTTTTTGTTTCAGCGATATTCGTGTACTTAAGTTGCAAGGTAGGGTGCAAGGTGTACTTTCTGCAAGGTGGTAGAACTAAGGGCAGTCCTTTCAGGAGGACAGGTGATTTCTAGAAAGGTTGCCAAGTGAAAGTGACGTTTCATGGCACAGTGCTGTGCTTTACTGGTCTCCTCTCAGAATCCAGAAACTTTAGATATCTTCAGAATTGCAAGTTGAAGGCAGGATCAAGAAGTGGAACTCTGTGCTCTCTCCTGAGAGCAGGCTTCATTGATATTATCAGCTTTATAGGTGCTTTTAGGTATTTGATAAAAGTTGGGACAAGCTGTAGCCAAAGCTTGTCATTTTGGCCAGGCTAGGAGAAAGATGGGTTGAAAGGCTGGGACCTGCAAGCCATGTCTGTGTAAACGTAGTACAACCAGAGTGTAGCCTTGTGCAGTAACTGTCCTATGAGCATCCATTGCCTTGGCACGGTCTTTGGCCCAATTTGGCCTATATCAGCTTCCATTCTTGTCCAATGGAGCTGAGCATAGGATTATCCGTAGCCTTACTGTCATGGTCTTTAATCCAGTTTGGACTATACCAACTATGCATCCCTGTACAGCACTGCCAAGCACAGGATGAGGAGTCATGTGTGCCAAGGACCATTCCCAGCAGAGAGCTAGGATGCACCCAACCTGTCTTGAAGGCAGAAAGGAAAATTGTTCCTCAGCCTTTTATTTAATAGCACACGCTTAGTCAAACAGTTTGCTGCAGGTATGTGATAGAAGGTCCTACCTTCCTGAGATTTCCTTGGTGTGTGGGAACAGTCAGTTCTCAAGAGCTCTGAATTCACCTTTGCTCGTGTGTGACCAAGGGAGACTGCACTCGTCTCCCTTGGATAGTTTCCCCCAATAAAAATGCAATTATTTAAATTACATTTTTCATTTGAGAAAGCAAGTGTAAAAAAAAACCACTTTTAAATGCATCAAATGCTGACATTTTGATTTTTTACAGATTTCTTCAGCTGATACGTGAAAATTTTGGGGGAATGTCTTGCTGTCTCAGGACAAGGAGAAAACAAGTTCTTAAGGTAGAAAAGTGATTATCAGTTTATCACTAATAGAGAACCACTCAGACTTATTTCCTTCTGATCTGAAGAAACATACATACTAATGTATTAATAAAAGCAAAGCTTTAAAGATCAGTTCAGGTTTATAGCCACACTCTAAGCCTTGATTTCTCAGATCTAACATTAATGATTCTCACAGCTATTTTTAATAGAAGGATTTTCACAAAGAGTTGCAGACCTTTCCTTGGAATGTTGAGAAGGAAAAGTCTTTTATGACTATTCCTGGGAGAAAATAGTAGTCCTGGGAGACCTACTGGGTGGAAAAGAATGCTGATAAGAAAGCTGTGAGAAAACTACCCAAACCTTCGTTTTTACTTTGGTTGGATTCCCTAGAACTGGCATTTGTAAGGATGGGTTTGAATAATGTGAAATAGAAAAATGATAACTGACATCCTTAGTCATTACCTGGAAGTTGCCCATATATCAACCTGTCATAAAAAGGCAGGTGAAAGAGGTCTTTGAGAAGTTATCTAGTTTGCATTTATTCTGGCACGGAGTTCTCCCTGACATGGTAAGTCTTTCCAAGGAAGTTTTAGTATATTTAATATAGTATGATTTAATTTTGTGTGTGGTATTACAAGTATAAAATGGTGGATTTAAGAAAGAGAGGAGACAACAAAAAAATAACAACAGTTTGAGGTGCAGATTCAAATACTAAATAAAAAAATCGCTGCCTTCTCTTGTTGCTTCCCAAGTAATGTTTTCAGTTTTAAGTCACTTTAAATATTATAGGAAAAAATAAAAGTCTCCATCTAGAAATGGAGCCAAACTTTGAATTGTTTTCCAACTCAGATATTTTTAGTGTCATTTGTTTCATTTTATTTGCAAAGATTGGCTTGGGTTTAAGAAAAACAAAGCTCTGGAAAGAGGACTGAGCCCTGTTCCTTTGTAACTACAGCCATAAAGAACAACCTCAATGAAAGGCCTGTTGAGGATTTAAGTAAAAAAACACATTTCCTGAGAAAAGACAAGGTTAGCACTTGGAAGATCTTAGAATATATTTTTTTTATTATTATTATTTGGAGGACATAGAGAGTTAATATTACTCACCAGTGTGAGTAATATTTTGTGTAAGTAATATTTTGAATTATTATTTAAAAAAAAAAAAGTTTCAGTCATAATAGTTGGGGGAATAAGACTTTTAATTTCCGGTCATTTGGGATTTTTAATACATTTGAAGAAAAAAATTAGAATACCATGTAGACTTAACCAGAGATCCTCTGACCTTTAGAAAATGTTTTGTGTTTACATTTGGGCAGAGTCCTCCACTGTGTGACCTGCAGACTTACATTTTTCACCTGTGAGGGTCTGCTCCACTTGGTAGAACTGCCTTCTCTTTCAGAGGCTCGCTCAGAGGCAATTTTGTGCAAATGTGCTCTTAACCAAATGCTTTCTGCTCTGAAGATACTTTAAAACAAAAGAAGCCTGTTCTTGATGGCTGCTAGATCTCTTTATTGTCCTTCCCCATGCACACATTGTGGTTGCATCCATAGGAAAGCCAAATTTTCAGGTGAGACCAGGGCTCACAAGAGCTTGTGCCATGTAAGGACCTTGCCACTCTTATGAGGGTGCCATTTTGTGCTGAGGGGGTTCTGTAGTTTTTTGATGTTACTGTAATTGTAACCATTGTACATTGCCAGTGTCTGTCTGAATTGACAAGAGCCTGAGGCAGCATCACAGAAGCATGAACTGTCCTGTTTGTTCAGTGGGGCATTTTAAGTTTTGTGCTGAACAATAACACTCTAAATATGAATGTTGCTGACTACTGATGAAAATAGGAAGAAAGCACATATAATGTGAACATTTGCAAATGATTTCTGAAAGACCCTTCGTCTTTCCATCTTTTCTCCTGAACCCGAAAGCTGTAGAGTGAAAGTCATTACAGGAAGACAATACAAAATCATCCTGCAGGTATTTCATTGCTCACAGAGGCCAGTCATTCTTGCATGTACTAATGCAGGTATCAGCTAATCAAGGTTTCTTTTTCACAGCGTGACTATTTGTGGGGTTTTTTTTCACAGCAGTTAATAACCTTCAAAGTGTGTGTCTAGGTTCCTCCATCTGGCCATGTACAAACAAAAAATATTTCTAAGTATCAGATGGCTTTGCTCTGATAGCACCTCTTGACTCTGAGACCTTGGAGTAATGGTGCTTCCCAGCTGTCATTTGGTTTTAATTGGGAGTGCAAAGCAGACCTGCCTTTAGAGTTAGGCAGGTAACAGTAGGATCCTGTGTTGTAAGAGTAGCATCTCATTTACATTTTTCAAATTACAGTGCTTGAAATATCTTCTTGATTTACCCCCAGCTTCCAGCTCACACTGTGAACAGGACACAGATGAGTGCATAGCCGTTGTCATACTGCTGTTTTTCTCATGAAAATATGCTTTAAACCTGGTGAATCTGTGCTGTGCTGAGAAATAGAGGATTGTGAGTTCGGGGCTCGTACCTTCTGGACAGTTTTAGCAGTGCTAGTTCTTCAGTGCCTGACTGCTCAGAATACCACATCAAAGCTCCCAGCTGCTAGTGTCAGGCTAAATCTCGGGTACTGGTATATCTTGACAGTATTACTTTTAGTAGTCGTACACGTAGGGAATTGTCAAGGAGAAGGCTTAACGTAGGGACTCAGCATAGGTGTAGATTTTACAAATAAGCACTTCTAATGTTTAATTTTATGCAGCAAGTCCATAGGTAATAAATGTAGTTAAAAATGCAGGTATTTTTAATTAGAAAGGAGGTGTGAAACTACTGTTAGTTGTTTTCTGGTTTTGATACTCGGTGCTGTGCAACTCACTGAGTTACATGTAGATTCCATTCTGTCTGTAACATAGGTGTGGCACAGGCATAGATTTAGGGTACTTAAACAAATATGCAATGAGAAGTGCTACTGATGTGACTCAGCATAAATTAGGCAGAGACAAACAAGGTATTTGAAAGCCTGGGTGAGGGTAGAAATCTGGATGGCAGTTGTGCAATGTCATGCAAGTCTGTTTTCCCAGTCGATGGGCAATAGCTCAGCAAAGCAGGAGCATGAGGACAGATGGCTGATTTTAAATGCCATAAACATGTGGCAATAAGAGAGCATAATTATTCTACTTGCAAACCTATGGATCTCCATATGTGATTAAAGAATGACTAACTAAAAGACTTAACCCAGAAAGAGCACTTGCATTTTGATCAGTCAGAGCAGATCAGCTGGCCAAGGCGCTGATTAGGTAACAGGAGGCTGCCTTGCCCCAGCCTGCCAGCAATCCACTCTCGGGTGTGCTTCCTGCAAAATGGGCCACACTTCTGTGTGTAGCATCTGCTGTCTGCTGTTTCAGTGTGTCACCTGTCCTTGGCTGGTGTCTTGTTTGCAGAGGATAATAATCTTGTGTTGCTGCCAGGAAGTGTAGCTAGAGCTTAATGAGGAAGATTTATACAGAAGCAGTGAAAGTCTGGAGTAAAAACATGGTTCATGATGCAAGTTGGAATGAATTGTTATTAAGAGAAATTCATCATTTAAAATTCTTTTTTTTTTTTTTTCGATTAAGGAAATAAAAGAGCTTTATAAAAATAAAGTTACTTAGGCTGCAGTCTAAAGAACCGCAGAGTTACAGCATGCATGACTCATTTGGTACTTTTCTATGTATTATGAGGTGATCACTCACCATTTCCCTGCCATGCTCTTGGAATGAGGCCCTTTCTCAGTATATTCTTTCTGAGTAGCACACGTATTACTTACAGGACACTGTGTAAGAAAATGTATGTGCTGTATGTTACTTTTTTAAAGTATTTTAAAAATCTATAAGTAATTTTTAATTAAGCCAGCTTAAAAAAATGTACTTAAATAAATGCTGACTGTTTTGGGGAAGAAAAGCTACATGTAGCGATACAAAATATTTTGGAAAGCTCTACATTTTGAGGAAATGTCATAAGTTTGAATTGCTGTAGGGAAAAAATAGACTAATATGGTCAGTGACACAACACAGTATTATTTATAGTGTATATATTGATGTAAACTTTAGGCCGTGGGTAGCTAGCTTGTTTTTACAGCAGACCTAACTGCATCTTGTAAACTACTTTTTCTGATCTGTCTCATTACAGATAATCATTCAAAGCCAATGGAAATTGACGGGGATGTTGAAATTCCTCCTAACAAAGCAACAGTCCTTCGGGGCCATGAATCAGAGGTGTTCATCTGTGCCTGGAACCCTGTCAGTGACCTGTTAGCATCTGGGTAAGACCATGACTGAAGCCAGATTCTGCAATTAGAGTATATTTAGAGATGGCAGGAACTTCTAAGTGTATTTGGGTATGAATGAGTATTCTCCAGGCTGTTTTTTCAGCCTGCAGCAGGTTTTTTTTTTTCAGCAGTACTGTACCTGTATAACAGTTAAGTAATTACAAGGTGATGCAGAATATGAAGCATTTGCACATTTAAGATGTGCACTCTGTGGCCCTGAATACAGTCAATTTTTTTAAAATATTTTTAAAATCACTATGGATAATTCCCAGAATATTTGAAATTTGTGTAATCTACTGCTCTTGGTTAATGGTTCACATTGAAGTCTCAGAAAGTCATTGGAATCCATGTTTTCTTTTTAAAAGTATAGAGATGGGGGTCTTCAGAGTGGACCTGTGTTTGTCCAATGAGCTGAACATTAGGGAGAGGAAATTTTTGTTTTAGTGTCATTGGAAGGAAATCCAGTCTGTCTTCTACAGGACTGCTCAGTGATGACCACCACAGCATGGCAAGTGGGTCAGTCAGGAGACTGACTTACAAAAAGCACTTTTGATCCAAAGAAAAGTACCATTGTAAACATACCCCAAGAACTACATACAGGCACTGTTGGAATCTGTGTTTGTTCATGCTTGAAGTTAAACTTTAACATGAAGGCTAAATATAAGAAGTCTAGCTGGGAACATGGAGGAAAACTGATCTAAGTTAGAGGAGGTAAATCACTCAAGGTTACGTAGCATTATTAGAATACCTTTCTCACAAGGAAGAGGAGAGTCCTTATTTTATTTCCATCTTTTTGCAAGATCATGAGAATAGTCTTCATGTCTTCGTTCACTTAATACATGAGAATAAGGAATTACGGTGTAAATGGGAAAGAAAATTCAAGTAAATACCAGCTTGGATAAACAGCAGAGATCTCTAAGAAAGTGAAGATAGAAATTTCCAAAAAATAATTTCAGACAACAAATTGAATTCTTGTAAACCAGATCCTGCTGAATATGCTTCATTCTGGAATGCTTTGTTTCAGGCCTGGTAGTACTTTTAGCATTTGTAGCACTAACATTCATTTCAAGCAAGTCATTGCTTGCCATACTGGACTGCTTCCCTAGGATCCGTGGTTCACAGTCCTAGTGTTCACATTTAATAAGCCAGAGTATGTAGTGCAGTGACTGAGGAACCAGTCTGTGTTTAACTTTGCCTCAGGGTGCTAAGCACTGTTAGATGGACCTCTGGGACAGTGGTATCTTACACAGCTTCAGGTAAACCTGGAGGATGATAATGAGAACCATTAGTCAGATATCCAAGATAGAGGAGTACCCTGTCACTACCCTTTCAATGAAGCTTTACCCTTCAGTGTAATTTTTTTTAATATGCTTTGCTACTGACTGTAGAAGCACATAAATATACTGATGTGTATTTACTCTTGTTACGAAGTACAGTCAAGTGCTGTGTCTCATGGAGACTAAACAGCAATGCAATGGCAATGCAGATAATTTAGATCCATGTGCATCTTGATCAGATTTTAGCCTGCTCATGAGAAACAAAGTAGGGACGCAGTTTAGCCTTTGGGTAAGGCAGCTGCCAGTGCCTGACAAAGCTTATGTGACTGAAATGGCATGGAATGCATGGAAGAGAATGAAACTGAAGGAAGAGAGCTGAGTGATTATGCCACTGCACAAAGAAGCCTTTGAGATGTCTGGTGCCAGCTATTATCTGCAGGTAAACTCTGTGTTACAGCACCAATTGAACAAGGGGGAGAAACTCCCTGAGATCTACAGTGTGCTGCAGTTCTGTTTGCCCTTTACAAAGTAATGATTCAAAAAAGAAGACCGCAGTTAGTCTGATGCATGAACGTCAAATTACTAGATTCTATAATAGCCATATTGTGCTACCCAGTCCATAGTTTTCTTCTTGTTTCCCATCTGCTTGATTGTACCCATCTGTTGTCTTAAAAAATACATTTCAAAACCTAACTGTTAAATAGAGGAATTAATAACACATTTGTTTTGTTTATAAAGTGCTGAATCAAATCTCAGTTCATGGCAAAGTATTTTCTTCAAGCCTTGTTATGCAAACAATAAGTTTTTCTAACAATTAGCAGCAGCAGTTTAGACAGCAACCTGATGTAATCCTCAAAGAACCAGAAGAATAGTGCAGGTTCAGAACCTAATCTGAAGCAAGCTATTTAAGAGGAATATAGCATGAATTACCCAAAACTAGAGCATTGCTTTTCAGATTTAGGAAGTATCCCACTGAGAGAAAGGGATTTTGATATTTAATGTCACATTTACCCGGTTGCTGATTTTTTAGTGTGTGAACACTGGGACAGGAATATATACTCTGGCCTTTGCAAAGAGCTGTTTCAAAATACAATATAGAGACAGGAATTTCTCTGATCAAATAGGTAAAAAAAATATATTCTGCAGCTGCTCTTCCTCCTCCACCACGCCCATAACCCTTAAAGCTGAGAATGGGGAGACTAGAAATACCAGTAAAGGCTATCAAAGGCATGACTGTCACCAGATGCCTCTGAGAAGAATGCTTAGATGTTATGAACAGAAGCATTATAATAATACAGTGAAGGGGGTGCATACAGCCATGTATGTATTTAGCCTTGATGAAAGAAATCAACATTCCAAAACAAACAATTGCAGGGTGTTTTGGACGGGTTAAAAAGAAAAGAAAAAATAGGTGCTTGAGTAAATCTCAAGATTTGGACGCTGCCAGCCATAAGTCCAAAAACTGATTTCTTCCATAGTTATCTTTCAGTATCTAAGTTTTAATTTTATGACACATTTAAATTGTTGCAGATGGTTATGTTCCCTGGGTAGTGTAGAAACCCATTACAGCTGCATCCACATTAGTAAACTAACCATGCCTGGGAATATTCCTAGGCACCGAGGCCAGCTGGCACAAAACGGCTGGTGTCTGTGCTAGCAAACTGCCCTGGCTGCCAAACAAACTGCACACTGGGAATCGTCTCTGGACATTGAAACCATCAAGCCATGCCCAGGAGTTATTCAGAGAGAACATCAGGGCCCCAAGAAGACTGCTAATTAAAACCAGCCAAAATCTGGCCAGGGAATAACCTGTCAGTTTGCTTGCACAGGTCATCATGGTCCAGTGACACAGGGTGTTCTCAACGTGCTTGAATTTCCCAGTGTGGAAGTGGATGGACTGTGAATGTCAAGGCTGCTAGAGCCTTGAACTCCGAAAGCTTTTCCAGTTGAATTCAGGATGTTTCTGTCATCATGTTCCACTGCTGCTTCCAAGAGTGTGTTCTGTTCTGTGACATCCAACCATACCCTTCAAGTAATTCATGTAGCCGTGAAGCAGAGGGACCTGGCCTCATTACTAAAACCCAACAGTAGGTTTCTTTGCTTGTCTTTGCTGATCTGTGCCAGCCTCTCTCACACAGGGGAACTTTGTCTCTTGCAAATCGCTCTGTGCACCTTTGCTCTCCCTAGTCAGCAAAATAATTATCCATAAAAGCTGTTGTCCAAGATCTTTCAGTTCTGGCTCTGTCTCTCCAAAGCAAGAAAAGATGTTTCCAGGCCATCTGCTGTCACGGTCTCTGGGTTTTATATAACACTTCAGGTTACTGTACCCCTCATACCAGTGGTTTAGGTTCCACTGTACATTACCTTTCTGAATAATCCTTTTGAATTACCAGGTTGAGGGTGTTTTTCACACACCACCCCTGCCATGTTAGTGCCAGGTATTAATTCTGCTAATTGTAAGTACTTATTCATTAGCAGATGACTGTATTGGGACTGTTTTCCTCAGTGCATCAAATGCATTAATGCAAAGTGGTCAGCTATTAGGGGGGGTCTACTTGAATAACATGTTGCAGGGAGCAATGTTGTAGAATCAGTGGGACAGAGATCTCCCTCAGGATACCTATGAGGCACTTCCCTCTACTCATTGCCTAGGAGGACTAGGTACTTGCTTTAGGAGACCTACTTGATTAAGGAAAAGTTAGGTGTCATAAAAGTTATGAGGAGTTTTCCTTCCCTTTATGCTTTTAACAATCTCTTTTAAAATAAAAAATAAAAACTCTAATTTCTTGGAGCCAGAAAGTGTTAAATACACATTAGCAATATTGCATCTCAAAATAACAGTGATTGTAAGCCTTGCAGCTGAAGAGCATACTCAGGCAGGAGAGCATAAAATAAAATTCTTTCAGAACTAGCCTTCTTAAAATTTGGGCGTACTCTACCATGGTGCAAACACGTATACCTACTACTCAAGTGGTCATGACTTGCATGTTGGAAAGAGCTGCTTTATCATGCAGATAGAAATGCTTCTGTGAGCTAAGGAGATTAAATATCTTACTGAATTTTGCTTGAACTATGGTCCTCTAATAAGGCAGGGTTCATTGAATTGTTCAGCAGAAATCAGAATATTTTCCACAGCAGAGAATACTCTTTTTTTTTTTTCCCCAGCAACAAAAGGGAAGACACACAAATACCCCTGCCACACACTGGTAGGCTTATAAAGCCTCTCTGCAGGGACACATAATAGCTTATGTAGCCTTAGGAAGAAGAAAATGGAAAAACAAAATTAAAATATTGGAAAATAAGATTGCCCAGGCCTTGCCAGAAAACTGACTAAATAAAACTGTTGAAAAACAAAACATAACCCTTTTAGAACTAGCAAATAGGATATTGTATTTGATAGCCAAGTGGCTGAGTACTTTATTCACAGGGTCCAATAACAAACTGGATTATTACCATGAGGGCAGGACTGTCCTGGAGTCTTACATAGTGGAGAAACCAGCACTGAAGGAATTTCCTACTTAGCATGTTAACCAATAAAACAGGCCTTGAAAGACTTATATTCCCACTATTGTTAATCATCACAATTAAATATGTTCCTTAACTTCTGAGCCTCATAATTAACTTTGTTAATTTTCTGGACAATATGTGTGAAATTGTCAGTTTTTCAGACCTCTGAAGAAGTAAGGATTTATATTACAGTCACTGCTCTATGTGGTGGCCAGAATTGCCCTGATCTGAATTATTTCTTAAGCACTTACATGAAAGATAATGTGCCAAAAATTAAAGAATGGCTGTACAGCAGTAGCTAGGCAAAGCCCTGGCCAGCCATCACATCTCAGCTTGGCACAAAAGGTTCAGAGGAGATGGAGGCACATTCCCCACGTGCCATGACCCAGCAGAGCTCAGAGCCACTGATACAGGCAGAGACGTTTTTGCTTTTACAGTTGAACTGTTGTTTGTGTAAAATTTGGCTAAATTATTGGTAAAATAATGCACAGAGATCAATGAAGTTTAGTAATTGCATGGTCAATATTTGCACTTGAAGACATGTCAAGTATTTAAAATTTGCCTGGGATTTTTAGTATAAATAATTAAAATGCTTTACTAGTACGCCAATAGAAAATTTAATATTCACTTGTGATGGATTTCCTTTTCAGTAAAACACGGCTTATCAAAGCAAAAATCTCAGGTTTTTAGTCTTCAAAAAGAGACTTTTCCTCCTTGTTAGTGTATAGGAAAGGAAGTTTTAGTTATTACTTTAAAAAAAGGGAAAGCTGACATATCAGGTATCTCAGCACTGGAATTGCATCTAAACTGTATGAATTCTTGGATGTATAAGAGAGATTCTAATTCTTCTCCAGGTTTCTATGTACATGTAAATAAAAATTGCCTTCTGGGCAAAACAAGCAATCCAGGGTACTTTGGTTGTTTTGGGTTTTGTTGTTATTGATTGTTTTTAAAAGAAGGAGGAGGGGGAGTGAGAGAAAAATCCCAATTAACTAGAAATCATATTATCTTCCACTCCATTGCAAATTAATTTCTGACCTCAGAAATGTTTATCATTAGAAGAAAGATTTATGCAAAGTCAAAATAAATATATTATTTACAAGCAGATAATGATAAACTCTTCCTCCTCAAAACTTTTTCTTAGCAAAATCAGGGTTTCAACCTGCATTAAAAACACCTCTGTAGAAAATAATTGGCCTATAAAATAGATCAAAATCGTGATGCTGTCTCTGTCTTGTTCTATTAGGTCGATAACTATTTTGCCTTTTTCTGACAACATGAGCTAAGCAGCCCACCTACAGACAGCAAAGGACCCTGTAGACATGAATTTAGAAAATGAAATAAAGATTTTAAAAAATAATTTAAATTGCCTTTCTACTTTCCTAATCTTGAAGTTTTGTAGCTTGATTTAATGCGGAGAGGCTGTTTTACAAGACACTTTCTGTCAAAGGCTGTGTTCTGGTCTGTCTGAACACAAGTACGTTATGAACAGGCCATGGCCAGATTAAAGGCAGCCTTAAGTTCCCCTCCTGCTCCTGCAGTAGCTGTCAGAGGAACCCCAGCAGGACCAGGGAGCTGACACTGCAGCACCTCTGTCACAGTGCTAGAGGTCCACTTCCTGAGGCTGCTGCCAAGGTGACACTCCACAGCCCTGCAGGTGCTGATCCTGCGGGTCCTGTCACACTGTGCTCAGAGCCTGCAGCAACTCCGAGAACACCAGGCAAGCCTTTGGGAGCTCATGTGCACGCTTTTTATGGGAGGCACGTGGCACAGCCGGTGTGTGTCTGTCTCCATTGTCTCTCCTCAGGGTTATGTTTGTAATAGTGTCTTGCCCCAGAGTATCTCAGTTATGGTGATACCAGCGTTCAGGTATGAAGTGCAAAATGTAGAAAGTGTATGTATTTTGGGTAAAACTTCTTTGGATAAACTAAATTATTATGTGGATTCAGATGATAGATACAATTTAAATGTGTGTTAACATTTTTTAAAGAGTATATGGAGCGCAGAAGGATTTGGAAAGAAAAAATTAAATTTTAAATTAAAATTTAAAAAGTTAAATTTTAAAATTGAAGTTTGGTGGGCTTAGGGGAAGGTAGTTGGATTTGCTCTGGGCGGTGCACAGGAGAAACAACAAAATTCTCAGGAGGTTCAATGACTTTTACTTGCAAAATTTAGAACATTCTGATAGAACAAGACAATTGGCAAACTTTAACTTAGCAATCTTTAAAACATCCAGACAAAGTAAGGCACTTCTCAAACCTTGACTTGGCAAACTTTAGGACACACAATCATCCGCTCCCGTTAGAGTGTGGAACTGTTGGCTCTCCCACCTACCCAGAGCTCGCCCTGCTCCCCCTCCACTTCCTGGTTGTTTCGAGCCAGTCAACCATTCCTCCAGTCTCTTACAAGGCCATAATATTCTCTCAGTGAAAACAGAAATAGCAGTTTTTACAGTTTGCTGGGTCGGCACGAAGAGGAGTTTTCAGCTCTGCACAATTGCTTTTATAGATCCGGAGACTCAACGGCCAGAATATGGAATCTCAATGAAAACAGCAACAGCGGTTCCACTCAACTAGTTCTGAGGCACTGCATAAGAGAAGGAGGACACGATGTCCCCAGCAATAAGGATGTGACTTCATTGGACTGGAATGTAAGCTAACTTCTAAGACTGTGCGTGGTTTTTAACTCTCTAAATTTAATTCAGAGGCGATTACAGCTGCTGCTCCATATCTTTTATATCCGAGGTGACCAGAAGCTCTGTCCTAACCTACTGACCTCCAGTTTCAAATACTCATAATAGCTGAACTTTCCCCTACAGGCTGTAATTTTCCAGGACTGTTGCCATCTTCAAGCTTAACAATTATATATTTATATCTCTATTTTAAGAGCATGGGTAAAAATAAACTTAGCTAACTTTAAGAATTAAGATTAAGCAAGCAATCTTTGTAATAATGAATCCTAATTAATAATGTATTTGCATTCTGTACTTAACTTTATTTTAGCATGTATGGAGATAAAAGCACCAGTGAAGGTTTTTCTGATGTTGGACTCTTGAGACCCCCTGTTACTTGAATTACGCTGTGCACAGCAAAACATACTTTCTTTATCTTGGTAGGAGCATGTGTAGTCGTTCTATCTTTACCCACCCACCTTCTGGATGAAACTGTATTGCCTGATCCCTTTTTTACTTTAATCCTGCAAAACTTCCTATCTTAGGTAATATGCTCCTGCGCAGAGAATACTGAAGTGAGCTGAGCAGGAAAGGAATTTTTAAGAATCCCCAGTGTCTGGGCAGTGTCCTTGGGCAGCTTTAAGGGTGCTTCATGTCTCCTTTCTACCACGAAACATTATAAAAAGAGCTTACAAGACCCTGCAGGAACCTCAGTTAATCTTGAGATCATTTGTGTTCTCTCTGTTTTTCTGATATTAGTACAGACAGAGTGATCACATTAGTCTTGTTTTCATAGGAAAACAGATTAAAAATTAAGAACCAGAAAGGATTCTCAGCAGTTTTGTACAGTCTCAGTTGCTGGCCAGAGACCAAGATTTGATTAATCTTCACTGCAATATTATTGTCCTTCAGGTGAGCTAGGTGCTTCACAAAAGCAAAAGATAAGGCCACTGCACAAGGTAGTTTTCCCTTACATATTTTATATTTGCGCAATGAAAGAACTTGGTGAATAGTACAAAAAGTAGAGGTAGGTTAACAAAGCAAATAAAACTCAAAATGTTCATCACTTGTTTCCTATGGATATCACAGTGAAGAAAAATAGTTTGAAAAAACTGAATCGAGGAGTAGAAAAAGAGTAATTGACAGAGGGAAACATGCAGTGGATGCAGAACAGTTATGAGAAAAGTTGTCCGAAACAAATAAAGCATGTCTAGTTTTTCCTGTAGTAGTTCCTTACGTTTCCAGACTTCACTGATCACAGTATTTTACTTGCATTGTGTTGAAACTCAAGGTAAAGAAATGTTCCTAATTCAAACACTTGAATGCTTCCAATGTACTTCGAGTTTTCCAAAAAGTGTGAATTACCACGAACCCATTTGGATTAGCTGTATATCTAGTCCCTGAGCTTTCCTTTCCTTTTTCTTTTTGCCGTTAATACCTTTGTTCTCATCAGCGGTCCAGATAAGAGTAAATCACAGTGAGGTTAGGTTGGCTTAGGTTTTGGTGTTTTCCCCCATCTTTATTATATATTTGAATTACATCTACAACTGCTCTGACTTTTGCAGGGTTGGAGTGGGCATATGTTTCAAAGGGTCATTTTATGCTTTTTCTTAATTTTCTATTCATAAAGCTAGAAATGACATGTGCCTTTATTGTTTATTTAGAACCACAATATTAATCATATTTCCCTGTGAAATTTTCACACTGGTGATACTGAATCAGTTCCTGTCTGGTTTATGTGATTTATGTTATAGTAAGAAAGGTTATTTCTGCAGGTCATATTCACATCATGATACCAAAGGTTGGATTCATCTCCCATAGATTTAACCATCTAAACTAGTCATCTAGACACACTTTAAGTCAGCAGAAACAGCAACACATGCCTTTTTGCTGGTCTGGGCATAATCTGAAGCAGATGGAATCATGAATTACACTCCAGACGTTCAGTTGTATGACTCTGTTAGTTATACAGAGAGACCAGAGTGCACTTTCAAACTAACTCCTGACTTCTGGATACCTGGCAATAAATGAGATGAATCTCACTCTTAATCCAGGTGCTGAAATGCTGAAAGACTAAACGCCCAGCTCCAACAGTATCCATCTCACCAGATGGAAGAGTCAAGTTCCATTTTCATTATTTTCGTTGTAGTCTAGTCACTGCAGCATCGTTGGCTTCACAGGAGATACATTTCCATGAAGGGTTCCTTCCAGGAGAATATGTGTAATTTGCTGATTCATGGGCTTTTTTTTCTCTTAATTGGGCCCCACGAATCCAACTTGTCTCAGGCTGTCCATCATGGTACTGTGCCCCTGAGCACATGTGGAAGTGTGTGTTCAGACAAGTAGAAAGCAGTTTCTTGGTGGTAGATAGCATTCAAGGTGTTAACTGGGATGGCTTAGGAGTTTAGGTCTTTTTTCCAGGTAAAGGTGCATGAATTTCACTGAACTGGGATTTAGTCTGGGTTTAGGTGACTTGTTGATGTCTTATGGGCTCTTTATGTCTAAGAAGTAGTGTCTGTTTGTTATCTGGAAGAAGCCCACAGAACTTGTTATATCTTGTGGGTTTTTTCTAATCTTTTTGATTAAATTACTCATATTTGATGGTATAGCCCAGTATTTCACTGTATGTTAGAGGGTTTTATTTCCTCTGTGCTGTCTGCAGTAATAACCTTTAGTTTAAATCATCTGTCTCAATGAGTGGATCAGAATTCCCATAAATCACAATTGGCAAACCTTAAAAAAGAAGAAAAGTGTTTGATTGAAGTAGATTTCATCTTGTATTGACCTGTAACATTTATATATATCCCAACAGAGTGATGGAACACTATTGGCTACAGGCTCATATGATGGTTTTGCAAGAATATGGACAGAAGATGGTAAGTCAAACAACATTTATTTTCTTAAACATCAAACAACAGTGAACTATAATATGTCTAATTTGTAAGCAAATTGTAATAATAACCTTTTCTTTATTCCAGGTAACCTTGCAAGCACCTTAGGTCAACATAAAGGTCCAATATTTGCCCTGAAATGGAACAAAAAGGGGAATTATATTTTAAGTGCTGGTGTTGATAAAGTGAGTTTTAAAAATATGCTATTGTAACATAAATATGTTGATCAATGAGCTTATGCTGCTGAATTCCTTAAGATTATTTTCTTCTGCCTCAGACATCCTGGAGACTTTGCATTTCTTTAATATGTTTTAGTGCATGCTGATTACATTTTTATTGTGTACTATTTTTATTGAAAATATTTTATTAATATAAAAAAAAGTGTAAAATTGTATGTTAAGCGTGTCTCAGTTAAGGAAAGAACTGTACTTAATTTTGTAGTTTTATCAACTAACTATTGACAGAAAGGAAGTGATCGTAAGAATATTGCACCTCTTAGCTCATCTAATTATTGAAACACTTTCATTTGCATAAAATATATATGGCTGCCTAAGCAAATATGCAAAAAAAATAGTAGTTCTGAACTCAAAATCAAGCAAAACATAGTAGCTACAGCTGAGTGCACATTAGAGATTAAAATGAACAGATGACTGATGATGATGAGCGCAAATCCATTAAAACTGAAACTGAGAAGTATGCAGCATTCATCCTGCCTAACTTTCCATGTCTAAAAATTATATGCATATGTCATCCTTGGCTTCCTTTATAAAATTCAGAGAGAAAAATGGCACTTCCAAGTGATGTGCTGCATGGCCTCTGTTCCAGAGAGATGCACTGACAGTGCTTCTCTCCAGCAGCTGGCAGAGGGAGTCTGTGGAAACTAGCTGAGACTTGTACATTTGATTTGTAGGCTAGATTTTCACATCCTTCCCTTTAATAGTGGCTTATACTTGGTATATATTCAGTGACACTGGTCTTCCAATGGTAGTTCCATTATTCTGGCAAACTTGCATTCTCAGTAAAAGCAGCGATTCTTTAGATGATCCATTCTCAGCAGGATGATGCATCCTTAATTTATTTTCTGGAAGTATATACTCCCAATAAATTGACAGATCACTCAGAAGGTGGTGTTGAGCTCTACAGGGGACATGCTTACGTGTGCTGTGAGCATGGATTAAAACCTGTAGTAAGCCAGTTACACTCTAGTCTGTCCCACCTCAGTGGCAAGAAATTACTCTGCTGATAGATAAACATTTCACCTGTTGGTTTGATTGTTAGAAATGTAGTTCAGCATAGTTTCAGAGTAGAATGCAACTTGCATCTTTGGAAAGGGGAAAAAGTATTCTTTAAAGAAGACAACTGAAACAGCTTTAACAAAATGCTTATTAAAAATGCAGAGTTTTGTCTTCTAGTATTATTCAGAGAGGAGATGCCCATTCTTCATAGTTCTATGGCTTCTTCTGTAGGCATGTTACTTCTTTATCTACACTTACGTTATTATTCTGTAATACTTGGAAGAGATTTCTGAGTTTTCAGCTGTTAAACACACAAGATGCTCTGCTGTCAATAATTTTATCAGTCCATCTTTTAGAATTGCCCAGAAGTGCTTTCTGTTTTTTAAATCTGAGCTGAGCAGTCACCAATCTTTTTTTCCCCCCTTTTCTTTGGATACAGACAACAATAATTTGGGATGCTCACACAGGAGAAGCTAAACAGCAATTTCCTTTCCATTCAGGTAATTTTTGCACAACTCTTTTTAGAAAAATGAAATGCAGTTTTTAATTTTGTCAATGTACTTTATCCTTTTGTATAAATGTATCTACCAGAGAAAAGTTTCAGTCAAGTTTTTTGTGCTTTAAGTATCCTGAGTATCATGGCTTGTGGGTTTATTCTCATTTCAGAAAGATGCATTTCTGTGAGAATCAGCTTTGAAAGTCAAACTGATTCTAAGAGAAGATGTATTCACCAGCCATGTCTACCTAACTGAACAATTCTGTCATTATCTTATGTGCTTGAATAGTACCAAGTGGTGATTTATGGAGAAGATTTTCAGTGGAGGTTCCTGAGATCTTCTGTGTTCTTTCTGCTCCTATTCCGATGAAGCTGACTTGAGAGAGAAGCAGGCAGATCTGTCATGCAGCTTGCATTCACCACTGCACTGATAAGATCCTCAGGAACTTCTTAGCTTTTAATTTTGACTTGGAAGTTCTTCAATATTTGCTTTCTTTGATTATCAGAAGTCAATTGCCAACCCTGAATTTCAAAACCTTGCGGCACCAAAACCTTACTTGGATGGTCATTTGTAGATCTGATCTGCTGCAGGAAGACAGGAGATGTCACAAATACCAAGGAATCTTGACTTACAGGCAATCATTGACACAATCTGAAATTCACCTGAGACCAGACTTGTAGGATGATGGCTGGATTCATGGTCCAAACTGGCTAAGTTGTCATAGGGAAGAATTTTTCAGTGGTTTAGTGAAACCAAGTTTAAAACCACCAAAACATTCCAGGTGATGATACTAGAAATGTTCATCTTCCTGTGTGTTCGCTGCAGCTAATCCATCTTTAAACACAGCAGGCTTTCACAAGGTGCTTAAAAACACATATTTTTGGTGTTTAAAAACACATATTTTGCTACTAATTTTAAAACATTAATTTGCCCATGCTTTTCAGTTCAATTTCTAGTTGTTCCTACTCTCGCAGTTTCACAGATGTTAATAATATGCATTAGCAATAAAAATGGTTATTCAACAGAAGACCAAAAGTATGTCCATGCACACAGCAAATCCATACTCTGCATTTTTGTCACTCATCTCCTCGCTTATTAATGCAACTGTCAGTTTAGAGGAACTGGTGTCTGCTGACAGATTTTCTCACTGTGGCATTTATTTATCCATCATAACTGTTCCATAACAGCAATCTTCACACTGTAGAGCGATTTAGTTAGTGAGACTCTTAATCCTCTGATCCCCAACTATTAATCTAAATAGCTGTGTATCCATAACTTTGTTGCCCCTTCAGAATTATATTCACTAACATATAAGCTGTCTTAGCAGTGATGTGCATCAAGGACATATCCCTCCATTCGCCTTTTAGCAAGTTGAAAACTTCTCTACATCTTCCAATGCAATATGCCCATGTCCATCTGCATTAATAGATTTTTAAAAAATTCTTACTGCACATGCTGTTTATCTTTGGACCACAAGACACAACTGAAGTGTAGATGTGGAGAAGCTAATATTTTTAAACTTTTTTTCAGTATTTCCAGTTTTTTTCATAGGGAAATAAAGCAATTAGTTATTCAGCAAATTGTTGATAAGCCAAAAGCATATGTCCTACACAACCCTCTTAAAATCAGCCAGAGTCTGTCCTCACATGATGGAATCTTTGTCCTCACAAGTCTAAAGCCACAAAGACCTCACCTTGTCATCTTTGAATCACTGACTCACCAGAACAAACTAACAGCAAATTCCTTCCCATATCTGGAATCTGAAAACCTCGTTTACATAAGGATTAAAGGTGGCATTTTAACAATTAAAGTCTAGTCTAGGCAGAGTACACTTCCTTTAATACATACTTCTTTGAAATTTGGAGATAGTTGGCCTGGGAATAACGTAAGTTTTTTTACTCTCTGCTGCTTTACAACAATTAGTTTCGTTTACAACTACATGAACAGAACTGTCATCTTAAAATACATAAGGAAAACTCCTTTGTCTAGGTCTTGAAGGCCTCCATACCATTGGTGCACTGGTATTCCCATGTAACTTTTAAGGTTTTAAAGTCAAAATACATAAGTATGCAAATAAGTAGTTTCTAGGGTTTCATTATTCTTTGCAAAACTATGAGTCATCGTGGGGCATTTGATCAAAATATGTATTCACAAAACTTATTTCTTTAAAATGGAACAAAATAATCCAATTTTGACATCTGGTGATGGATGTGGACTGATGTCTATGCATGCAGAAACAAAAATTGGTTAATTGCTACCAAAAGAGCTATTTGTATGACCCAGTTTTAGACGTCTAAGTGTGTAGTTACAGGACAAGGGGTTTACAAATTGAAAGAGATTAGGTTCAGATTAGATATTAGGAAGAAATTCTTTACAGTGAGGGTAGTGAAGCACTGGAACAGGTTGCCCAGAGAAGCTGTGGATGCGCCCCCATCCCATCAAGGCCAGGTTGAGTTTAGCTCTGAGAAACCTGGCCTGGTGAAAGGTGTCCCTGCTCATGGCAGGGGGGTTGGAACTAGATGATCTCTAAGGACCCTACCAACACAGGCCATTCTGTGAATCTGTGATCTGAGTGCTCTGAATCACACCTAAATTTGTTCAGAAAAATCCTAAATTAACAGATAATTATTGTAACACTTTTATTGTTGGTTTTTATTCTAGCTGCATTTCTTACAGATTTGCTGCTGCTTTTATTAGATCATCTTCTAATTTTTTTTATGTGATTGGCTGGTATCCTGTGATTTGGGGAACACTTTGTCAATCTGATTACTTGCATCAAGAACCACGTTTGGTTGTTTTCTTTCAGACTGTTTTATGTAGTTAACTTATCCAGTAAACATATGATTGAGTACACAAATAAATGAATCAGTGTTAATTATCAGCACTTTATGTTTCAAATTATGCTGCAATGTAAATCTATAGCTTTAGGTGCCAGTAGCTCTCTGAAAATTACTTTTGGATTCATACATATCATGCTAGATATTAGCCCTGAAGGCATATTGTTATTAATGATGATAGATTTTTGTTTGCTCTGAATTAATAATACAAAGCTTGCAGCATAAAAAGAAAGACAAACAGGTAGTTAAAGAAACAAAATCCTTCATTTCCTAATCCTCATTCATGTTCATTGGAAAATTCAAAAGCAGTCTACCTTTCTTAAATAAATTTCCTTTATATTTCTACAATGTAGTAATTCCTTACCTGTCATACAGAATTATTGATCTTTTTCATTAATACTGTAAAAAATACTTGTATGTGAAACAATTTCAACCCTCCATTCTCATTTAGAGAGCTACCTGATGATTCAGAAGGTGATGGGGATCCTGTTTCATTTTGCAGTTCATAAAAATTATAACAGGAAAAACATATTTAAATCTAACAGGCTTGGAAGAACAGATATCCTTTCACCTCTGTATTACCAAAGTATCTTTCTGAACATATTTGAATATACATTTTAATGACAAATTTGCATTGAATCTTTGCCAGAAAGAGGTTCAGCTTTGTTTCCTATATGCTGGTCTCTTTTTGACACACTTTCTTCTCACAATAGTATGCTGAGAATGAAGATTTCTGTATTTTAGTGAGTCTTATGTCATCCTCTGGAGGGCAGCTAAACTCTTTCCTGAGGAAAAAAAAAACAAGCAGCAGTTAAAGAAACATAAGCAAGCTGTTTGTCAGGAGCTCCCTCCTGCTCCTGCACGTGCTTTTAGTCTCCAGTGACATGCTGTAAAAGTTGTTTGGGGTATTTTTCCCATACTTTTTGCAGAGTGTGTATGTTGCACACAGGCACTAGTTGCATGTTCATGTGCTATCTGTGTACAGAGTTTCATTAGTTCAGTATTAGTTAATGCCAAACCCTCTGCAGAAACTGTTCCTCTCATTTCAGATCAGCTTGATCAATGTACCTGTCTAAAATCAGTCCCCAACCAAATTAAGCTGAAGGTCAGTGTTATTAATCCAGGTACCTGCACAGAGCAGTAAGTTTGTGTCGGTGGTTGCATAAAGCTGGCGCAAAGGAAGATGCCACTTGTGTCTTCACCTTCCCAGTGTGTTTTGTCTGGCATTCACAGGAGCTTTGTTTCTAACACAGATTAAATTATTCATGTTTTTTTCTGGATTAGTTTTCTTTCAGTGTCTTCACTGAACTGGCTTACAGAGGAATGAATGCTAGAGATGGCCCAAGAGACATGCATATCCACTGCAGTAGAAAAATTGTTTTGTGCCCTTCAGACAGTTCCTCTCAGCCCTATAACTGGCAGCAGGTGACAGGTCAAGAACTAGCCTGTAGTCTGTTTGATCCACATGCATAACAGGAGAAAAATGATTTGGGATAGCTGTGGTGTTCCCTGATGTTCCTTCTGTTGTTTGTACTTCACAGCTCCTGCTCTGGATGTAGACTGGCAGAACAACACTACTTTTGCCTCCTGCAGCACTGACATGTGCATTCACGTGTGCAGACTTGGCTGTGATCGCCCCGTTAAAACCTTTCAAGGACACACAGTAAGTTTAAGAAGTCCAAAATGTTAGTGTTAAAGTCACAGCAGCATATTACCATGATGGCAGATGTGGTTGCAGGGTGTATTCTAGCACTAAAGGTGTTACACCCCATTGCTTCCCTAAAAACATATTCCTTGGGAGTGATTCACGGTCTGTGAGAAAGGATAAAATGTTCTAAATCACTGTAGGAGGCAAAACCTGCAGCGTTTAAACAGTGAGAGCATATGTAGCATGAGCTGCAGAGTAAAAGCGTGTTAATAAATAAGTTTTTGGTTTTCACTAGCTTAGTTTCCTTTAGTTAATGAGAGCTGTAAATAAGGAGAGAACAATTTACCCCCAGCCATTGTTCAATTTTCGAATCAGTTTAATCTGATAAGATGTATTTAAGGTGTATTTCCGCCCACTTGTTCCTGGTGGTATTTAATAACCATCAGAGGTTACTTTTTCTAGCTTTCATTTGTGAGAAAAACTGCTATCATCTACCAACCTGTAATTTAGATGATAACTTCCAGAACTTGCTATCTTCCCATTGAGGAAAAACTGCATTTAGAGACCTTTATCCGACTCTGTGGTTAAACTGATGTTTGATGACTGGTTGTACATTCCTAGCAACATACTACTGCTTTTTATGATTATATAAAATGCACCATTTTGCATGCATTTACACATACATCTCTCTTTAGAGAGACCAGCATTGTTGTAGAGCTGCAATACTAAGAATTATAAACTCCACAAAACTTTACACCCAACCATTATCAGTATTTTCGATTGAAAACTTGTATTGTTTACAGAATATTGATGAAATAAATGCCTCCATTTAAAAAAGAAGCTAATGCTTTATCAGTCTGTCTTGTTTGAGGGTTTATTTAAATCCTTGCATATGAAGAAAGGTTATGAGAGACTTTGTGCCAGAAAATGCATCAGAAGACTGATTGTTTGTATTGTTCACAAATATAAAATGGTTTCACTCCAAAATGCCACTTAAATAGTGTGTTGGGGAGGCAGCACTGCTTTTTTTTTCACCCCTAAAAGCACCCAGGACTGTAATTTGTGGGTTAACTTGCTCCATGCATAAACCTTGAGTGCCCTCTGCTGAGTGCCCAATACAATGCAGTGACTGGAATATTTACTTTAAAAAAATCACTCTTTATTTCAGAACGAAGTTAATGCAATCAAATGGGACCCATCTGGCATGCTACTAGCATCTTGCTCCGATGATATGACATTAAAGGTAATAACATTTCCATTCCTGCTGTTCAAAAAGTAAGGACAAAAATTTTGTCTGTTTTTTCATCTTCTCCAGAACAATGGTGCTGTGTCAGTTAAAACTCTGCATGAACAGTAGTTTCCATTTTGTCCCATATTTCTTAAAGTTAATCTGAAAGATAGAAGCAGGCACTGGAAAAATTGAGACATACTGTCCAAATAGGTGTTGTTTGGTGCCCAGTTGTGTGCTGTGTTTTAAAAACCACTGTGGCTTGGTGTTTTTGGTACCGGTTGAAATTCCTGACCACTGAATTTGGCACAAGAACCTAGTAGTTTGCTATCCCTGGCCTCACCTGTTTTTAAAAACCTTCAGTGGTGGAGACTGCAAATGCTCCAAATTCAGGCAAATATTCTGCTTCCTTTTCCTTCGTAAATCATTCCTCCCAGACTTCTTTTTTCTTCTTTGTTTTTGGAGCTCATTATACTTTCCTATAACTTCTTGGAACATGCTGCCTGTTAGCCATAGAACATGGCTGAGCTCGATGTAGCATCTCCAAAAGCAGTCTCAGGTCCGCTATGGGAATTCAGCATAAGAGCTCATCATTCCTCTCATACAACAACTGCTACCATGGCTACCTTTTTTGATATCTCTGTGAAACTGAGTGACTAAATTTGAGTTATTTTTCCTGCTGTGAATTAGCTTCATATCATTTTCTCAGTTAGCTTAAGAATAGATAGACTAAGTTACCTGTTGTCTCCATCGTGCATATTCTTCATCTCATGCTGAAGTATTTGGCCATGTAACACTGCATAAATAGCTGATTGTCTTCCATCTTCTGCACTGTTAAAAGCATGAGGAAGACAAATGGAGTTCAAGTGGAAAAGGAAAATTTTGCTGGCATAAGAGAAAATTACTAGGTTCTAAGCAGTTACTGCAGTTTTCTTCTCATTTTTTAAAATGACTGTGTGGCTTAAACTTCAGGTTAAACTTCTCTAAATAGATTACCTTTAACTTGTTTATGAAAATACACTTACAGGCTATGGGCAGTACAGCAACTATTTAATTCTTCTCATCTATTGAATAAATACTATTAAATATATGACTGCTTCCCCTATTGGAGTTATTTTAATGTGTGTGCCAAATTGCTGCATTAATAAATTATGTTTTATGTGTATGTATGTGGGTCAAGATCTTAAATAAACAAATGGTGAAAATTACATAGAACTGAAATAACTCAGCTGGGAAGAGATTAGTAACACTGCTATTTATCCCCTTCGTTATTACTCTGACTTAGATTTGGAGCATGAAGCAAGATACCTGTGTACATGATCTTCAGGCTCACAGCAAAGAGATTTATACTATCAAATGGAGCCCTACAGGACCAGGCACCAGCAACCCAAACTCCAATATCATGTTAGCAAGGTAAAAAACATACCTCTTTCTCTTGCCTGCCAAGAAGGATCATCTTTCTGACACGTAACCCTACTATCACGTCACCATCAGTCTTCCTGCAGGCAATTCCACTAAAAAGTATCTGTAACTCAAGGGGATGGATACAAAGGGGAAGAATTCATATTTGAAAAAGGAAGGGGGGGTAAAGAAGGAAAATGGAGTCATGTGACATTTAACTTTCCAGCTGCCTTGATTACCTTGATTAAAGGGTTGTAAATTTGACATTGCACTTTGACATTCAGCACAGGGTTGTTATGAGTGAAAGTACTGAGGCAGATGGCACCTATTCAGGCAGCTGGAATGGTGTTTAACCAGGGTCATGCGACTCACCTGGGCAGATATGGACAATTTTTGTAGCCTTCTTAGCTAAAAAAGAAAAGCTTGGATAATCCTTAAAGATTCATTAGAAAATCTGTGCAAAATTCTTCTTTGAATTTAGGAAATATATTTGCTTGTAGAATGCCAGTTGATGGTAGTACTGTGGGATTGTCAAATTAGTTCATAGGGCATGCAGTTTGGGGAGAAGCTGTGTCAAAACTGGTTTATTTATTTTACTCTTTAGTCTGGGAGTGGATGGTGAAGAACCTCACTTTCTTGAAGTTATTATTTTAATATTATTTTGAATACCAGTTATTTTCTTTGCCTTTCTCTGAGCCTGTGATTTGGGATTTACATGGAATGTAGCAAAATGCAGCTCTGAAACAAAGCAAAAAGAACCACAGTTCTAGAGAATAACAGAATGCTAATTCATTAAGCAGTGTGAATCCATTAGGAATAAGATCTGTTTGGAACCCTTTATCCTATTAATGACAATACATATTTGACCTTCCTGAATAATAGCAGGTAGAATCTTAAAAGGAGGGAGCTTGGCCCTCTTAGGGCTATATACAGCACACCTAGATAAACCCAAAGGGTCCTCATACAAGAATTCAATTCTATAGCTGTAGTGCTTAACATAAAAAACGTAAAGGCTGTGGTACATTTTAGCTTTTCTGTTTGAAACATTATGTCTTGCTTAGCAAAAAAAACCCTGTGGCATTCTTTTCTGACGTTTACAGTATCAAACTACAAATGGACTAACACCCAAATTATTACATGCTTGTGTTTGAACACTTGTTGCAGTGCTTCGTTTGATTCCACTGTTCGGCTGTGGGACGTTGACCGAGGAGTCTGCATCCATACGTTAACAAAGCATCAAGAGCCCGTCTACAGTGTAGCTTTTAGTCCTGACGGAAAATATCTAGCCAGTGGGTCCTTTGACAAATGTGTCCATATATGGAATACTCAGGTACTGTTTTGTTCATGTGAAGCACGTGCTGCTTTAGGTGACACATTAATAGCAAAAGCTGAAATGGAAAATGTTCTGCCACATATGACCTGCCAGCCAAGGTCAACCTGACTGTGTTGGGTGATACAAATCCATAGTAGCTGAGTCACTCAGGTGCAGTGAGGTAACTGTCCAGTACATTTCTGCTCACTGTTCTGTGTATGCTAAAATACCGAGCATGCATGAAAAGGTATGTTGTGTTGGGTCATCAGCTTTGTGAAGCGGAGGTGTGGATTGAATCTTAGCAATAGGGGATATTTTCATGTAGTTACAAGCTGAGTTCATCTGTGAGTCTGATGCTCCTCTTCCTTTCTGAAGAGGGAATGATAAATACAAAGGGTGTACAGGCTGGGGACTGATGACATTCTGTAGAAAAGTGGGACATCATAATTCCACAGATATAATTCTGGATACTGCTGCCTCACAACCTGAAATAGCAACAAACTTTAGAGAAGACCTCATCGGCCTAACTCCCCAGGCCTTTACTGTTACAGAGTTGACAAAAACACTCTTAAGAGTCCTGCTGTTTCTGGAAGAGCCTGTTGCTCTTCATTATCAAAGACCAGTTTCCCAACTTCGGCACCTTGTGGAGACAGCCATAGCTGGGTGATGGGAATAGCTCCCCCTCACTGTCGCTCTGTAGTGCCACACGACAGAGAAAAAGAAGGTGAAATTCTGTATCAAATGTCTGCCTGCTGTTTTGCTTTGTAGAGTGGAACTCTAGTACATAGCTACAGAGGCACCGGGGGCATCTTTGAAGTCTGCTGGAATGCTAGAGGAGACAAAGTGGGAGCAAGCGCGTCAGACGGATCGGTAAGGATCTTTAAACATTGTAAAGGTTGAGTGGAGATTTCTTTTCTGGGAAGCATCAACAAAAAACCTGCTATGTCACCTCTTGTGGACAGAGCTGAAGGTGAAGGCAGCTCAAGACATAAATAAGTAGCTCTGTGTAGTATATTGAAAACACTCCTGCTTGGAAAGGTTTTGAATACTAGGAGGTGGTGTTCCTATTGGAAATGAAGAATGGTTATGGAATAGATGAATATTGCTGAAAATGAGAATGACTTTTAAATACATATTTGACAAGAACAACAGTAGTGTTGTTTCTATCATCAGTTTTTAATGAAGATCATACCACAGCAGTCAACTCTCTAACAAACAGTTTTCCTGGAGCTTTCTGAGTTTGGTCCCACAGAAGTTAACCCTTGAATAAGGAATGATGCCCAAAGATTTCATCATGTGGTAAAGGAGAAATATTGCCATGGAAATACCAATTATTCTTTACTATTTTTGCTATGAATATTAGTTTTAAAAAATTGCACTTGTAGTATGATCAGCCTGTGAAGGACACACATAGCTGGCTGGCATAACTACTTTGGAGTGGTATTTTTCAACTGGTATTAACAAGGGGCACACCTACAACATGATGCAGTTGCTTGAGCTTAGTTGTGCCATCTGAGACAGTGTCATGCCTGGCTTCCAACAGCTTCTTCAAAGGGGCACGTGTCCACTGTCATGCATACCAAGCCTGCATTTATTTTGGACCTGTCTCAGAAGTGAAATGGTATTTAGGTAACTGAATAGATCCAGTAATGTTATCTGGGATGTGCCACCAAAATGTTTGTTTGTAATCCAATGAAAGCCCTGTTAAATATTAAATGTATGTGTTTCGTTTGGGTTTTCTCCCTTGGAGTTTGTTCCTTTATTTGTGTGCATGCAAACTAGTTCTTGAGACAGGCTGTTTCAAAGCTGGGGAGTGTGATGTTCAGCTCGATGATCAGCCTGTGTACTTCCACATCACCTTCAGAAACGGTTCTTAATGCTGGGTCTTTTCTCTGCAGGTTTGTGTTCTAGATCTGCGGAAGTAAAAGTGAAATGTTTTAGAAGAAATTTCAAATGGACCAGCAGTGAATGTGTGGGGAGAAGCACTCTTCAAAACTATTCTTAACAGCTCCAGAACTGTACGAACTTGAACAAAGTTAGAGTGTACCGTGAAACCAACTCTCCCTGGCCGCAGGTGACTAGTATTTTGTCCGTAACCTTCATCAAGGAGTTAAAACGCAGTCACTTCAGAGGGGGAGGGAATGGTTTCCACCTGGAACATTCAGCCTTGGAAGCATGAAGCCACCAGCTAGGCATTGCACTGTTTGGTTTGCATCTGAGAACTTGCTCTGATGGCTGGGAAAAAAAAAAAAAGCTGTGCCAAAAAAAATTAATAATATAAAAAAAAAAAAAAAAAAAAGAAAAATGCTGTGATAAACCAAAAGGGAAAAAAAAATCCTCCTCCATGCGGTGTTGTATTTTTTCCTTCCAATTTGGACACTACAGTTGCTCTCCCAAAGGACGTTCAAAGACCAGTTTGTACTGATGAAATGCTCAACTTTGTAATCACAACACTTTCTATTTTCTAGACTACTTTTTTGTTCAGTGGTTTTTCTATCAGCTGGAATATTACAGCCTGGAGGATACCAGGCTTAGGATGAAACTTTTGTTTTCCTTTTATTTCTCCCTTCCACTCCCAACTTCTCCTTCCTTTTTTTTTTCTCCTCTTTCTTCTTGGCCATTTTTTATTTTTTTTTCTTTTTTCCCTGTATGCCCATAGTAGATGCAACCAGGTGGACATGACAATGAAAATTTTTGACAGACTGCTTCTCCTCTCTTCTATCTCTTCCTTTTCCTTTCTTTTTCTCCATTTAAAAGAAAAAAAAATCCTCCATGCTTCAGATCTTAGCGTCTCAAGGGCACTTTCAGCAAATTGTGTAATAAGTGCTTTATATAAGAATGCAGTGCTGGGGAAGATTTTTACAGGAGAAAGATGACTTTTAACAGAAAGAACCCAGTGTATTTTTGGAAAAAAAAATATTTTTTATGTTAAACAGTTTTAAAAGCCTAAAATTACCACAAAATGTAGACCAGTTGTGTAATTCAAGCAAAAAGAATGACACAGAGTCCAGGTAACATGAAAGGTGCAGTATCCTTTTTCTCTTCTTTCTCAGAAAGTGCTGTAAGAAAAAATGTCATTTGATACAATAAATACCAGTCCTTTACTAAGGGCCTTCTTCCAGCATCCAGCCATTTATATAGTCTCTTTTCATTTTTTATGGCTGTTTGGTGAGGTACACTAATTCAAAGAGATTCATAAGATTGAGACTATAAATACAGCATTCATTTGCTCTAGTCTATATTGTTGTTTGTTTTCAGTAGCCAGGAGAAAATGCTTGTGTATCTCCTTTCCTCTAGAGATAGTTCAGATTTCGACAGAACATGGGTTTGGCTGCCTGTGGCCTTACTGAGCAGTGCTTTCTTCCACTGTTCATCCCACTCAGCTGTTTCCATTCCAGTAAGTCAGTGGGGTTTTACCACTGACTTGGATGAGACCTGGTGAACTGAAATACATTGACTGCATCTGTCACGGTTGAAGAATGGGTTCTTGCCAGGCTCCTGTCCATCCACAGACCACAAACACCAGGAAGCAGGCTCTTCCATTGCACCTGGTGGTATGTGGTGCTGCTGTCACCCTTGGCCGTGCGTGTGCTGCATCCTGCTAGGAAAGCTCTGGGTCTGCACTTGGAGGCTCACTGTCTGCCCAGGCAGGTTTAGCCTTGAGTCCTCAGTGTGGTACTTGGAAGACAACCATGAATTCTTCGTTAGGCGACAACAGCATAGAAGATATATAAATTGTATCTCAACATACATACCGCTATAAAGTTAAGGTGGGTGAAATGATCAGAATGACAATGGAGAGTTCCAAAGCACCACCTATCCACTCTGGACAAGATTTCTTTACTGTAACTCTGACACCTGCACAGATGCCAACTGAAGACTACATTACTCTAAGAGGAAATGATGGATTCAAAGAGAGACATATCAGCAGAGTTTACTGGAAGTGCTCAGAACTGGCTGAGTCAAACAGGTGTCCTCTCTATCCCACAGACTAGGCTAGGATCTGTAGGAGAGAGATTAACATATGTAGTACTTTCTTGCCCAAAGTCGATGTAACGCAGCGTCTCCCCTTGGATTTGATCACAGCTGTTGTAGTGGTGATTTGATCTGAGCAAATTCAGAGCCCTAGGGCTAAAATGGTGGTGTAAGACCTGCTGAGCACCACAGCAGCATCATGGAATCTGTACCCCACTTCTTCTCATGAGTTTTCTTCTCTTTATGCTTGCATCTATAGAGGATCTTAGTCCTTCCAGTGGAACTAGTCACTGCCAGCTTCAGCTATGTTTCTTGAAAATACACCTTTGGAAAGGAGAAAAGAACAACAGAAGGAAATAACTGCTGAAAGTGTTTCTCAGTCCTGATGCGAAAGCAGTTATTAATGTCAGTCAGGCTTGTTTGTAATTTATCTCAAATAGTTGGATGCTAGAAGGTATCAAGGATTATTTTTGGTGTTAAATGCATTTTTGCGTTGGTTTTAATTTTCTGCTCCAAGAGCTTGGGCTGTAGATCATCATGTGGCAGTTTTGCACTGTTTCATAATAACCACATGTACCTACTAATTTAAAGTCATTACTCTTTTTTTAAAAAAGACGACTTGCTCAAAGAGAGGCTTGAATTTGAATACAAGGGTGTAATGTGGTTTTATAAAGCACGGTTGGGTCAATGATTTGATTACAGTCATTGCATGTACACGGTTAACTAACTTCCTAAGCTGCTTTTTGGTAGCATTTCTGAGAATAACAGGCAGAAATTGCAGTTCTGTGGGCAGCAGAGCAGCGGAGGGCAGCACTGATGGGGCTCTGGCATTGCCTCTGTCCCCTATGTGACATAGGGGCCAGACCTCAGGATTTGAAGAGATGAGTTTTCTCAATCTGAGTTCAGCAACACTGTATGAGTGACTGGCTACATAGGCTGTGTTTCCCAGGCTATGCTTGTTCCCAGGATAGCTACTGGAGATAACAGGGTGGTGTCCATGCCACCTCTTGCTTTTTTCTTTTTCTTTTTTTTTTCTTTTTTAATTTGTCAGAACACCACTTTTCCTCTGCCTGCCTATCTGGAGGTAAGAAACCAAGAGAAACAAAATTTGAATATCGGTTGGTTTGCAAAGCCCACATGTGAGAGAGGCTGCTGCTGTAAATTTTCCATACAGACCATCAGATTTAAAAGCAGCACGTTTGAGGAGCTGAAAAATTCACCTTCCTTCCCCTCCCCAGACTCTAAAGATTGGAAAATCCTCAAAGGTGCTGTAGTAGATCGTTTTTAGCTATTAAAGGAGACATAAGGTGTAGTTGTGAAGGTTAATCCTAGCCTAAGGAGATGGTTTCTTTAGGACATGGGACAAGGGGAGAGAGAGGTTTTCCCAGCTGGTAGTTTGTCTCAGCCTAGACCTGCAGAACTGTGCTGGTAGGAGCTGTCACTTTCCTCTACCACGGTGGAGCAGCAGCATTGCCCAGCCAGCAGAGCCTTCCTGCAGCTCCCCTAAAACAGAACTGTCGCACGAAGCGACAGGCCGGGGGACTTCGGTTTTTTTCATAAAATTTCTTTTTATAATTTTGTTTATAGTTCTTTGTAACAGAAGAGAAATGGAAAAACCTAAGTGACCACACAGGATTGTGAAACCATCCAGAGACTTGCTGGATTTTTACCCTTGCTGGCTGTCTGGAACTGGCCCTGAAGTGAAAAAAAATCCAGTTTCTGAAAAACCACACCGCTCTGTGGGTTAGAAGGATACTGAATCTTTTATGTAGAAAACACTGGGTCCCTTATGGGGCAATAAAGGGCCTGACTTACAGGGTTATACACACATTAACCCCATGCTACATCTTAGAAATTTCCTTTTAATTTGTTTTAAAAAAAAAAAAAAAGAAAAAAAAAAAAAATAGCTAATTTTAGAGCCAAGTGAAGTGCACTTTGTCAAATGTAAGGGTCTGCTTTGTTTTTGGGTTTCTTTTTCTTTTTCCCTTTTAATTTTTCCTCCGTTTTTTTCCTCTTACTGCCTTTTTAAAATATGTGGTTCTTTGTCAATTGCAGAAATGTTCTTTCAGCCACTCACTGAAATTCTGAATTCTGGCTTCTGCAGTTTTTATTGTCTGTGTCAGACTTGCAGCCAGACTTGGTTCTCATTTCAGCATTTCCCAGGTTCTGTTGAAACAACATCAACCCTTATTTTGTTTCTCCCCCACCCACACTTTCTTCAAATTCACTTTGTGTATTGTAGCTCATTTGTTTTAAGGAGAGAATCAACAGATCATATTCAGTGTCTTGAATAAATTGCTATATTTTGATATTAGAGAATTCTGTGCGTGTTGTTCCTTTTTCTTTTCTGACTATTTTGCATCCTGTACTTAAGAGCTGGGTTTGGGTGACTGAAGTTGTGATGTGGTGTCATGATCTAAAGGGTTACCTGACCTGTGGGTGTATAAAGATCACAGCTGTGTGTACATAGCTTGTGTAATACACAGGGCATGGAGACTTTAGCCTCTGATTTTCTTTAAAACTCACCATTAGCAAGTACAGCTATAATGAAGAAAATACATATATGTATATCAAGCTATTACAAAGTATTATCTGCAAGAATTGGTATAGCAACAATCAGTGATACAACAGCAATTAACTGATAGCAACACCCAATTATAGCAGCACCCAGTAGTAGCAGCAATAAAGTGTATAAGTGTGTGTGTATATAATATTTTATCTATAATGATACTAAGTTATCACTAGTGAAACAAACTTATCGATAATATAACAGCAGATACAGTTATGACAGGTTACTTACATGTATAGATGTGACACCAAGCTTATTAGATCTCAGAAGGGGCCTGGCCATCCCAGAGGCGGGAGGACAAACCAGACCAGGCCTAGACATGGGCTCAGTGGGGGAACAATACAGTAACAGGCAGAGCCTCCCTGCAAAGGTGATCCATGTCACAGAGTTTGGAGTCAGCAAGATGTCCCCAACAAGGGTCCAAGGTCTTGTAGAACAAGCTCGTGCAGACCTGTTCAGGAAAGGAGCAAGTACATGCAGTGTAGGAAGAGAGGAACTGATTTGGATGGAAACTCATTTCTAAATCATAGAGGTACAAGAGGGCGTAGGACACTACCGCTTCAAGCAGCCAACAGATGTGGTTAATTTCTGGTTTTCACCTGGGGCAGCCAACAGATTTTTCCTGTTCTTGCAGTTAGAACAGCCAATGGCAGTTACCAATACTAATGCTTTCTCATTATGTTTTCCCTATTTCCAGTATCCTCAAAGGATACAGGGGGAGGGGGTGGTTTTAGCTTTAACAGACTGGATGCTGTGCAGTTTTTAGTTGGGCTTTATTCAACAAAATGGCATTAATGGTACTTACTGGGGGATTCAACATGAAATGGCATTTTTGCTTTGTGACCATGTAGCACATTGAACCGTTGTCAAAAGCATTCAAAAGGAATTAGCACTCAGAAGAAACAGTCCTGTGTGTCACGTCATCTAGTTTTTAGGTGTTTAAGGACCTAGAGCATTAAGACTAAAATATGACATTTAGGAAGACACAAGTGCTAGAAAAACTGGTGTACTCATGATGAGTACCTTATCACATCATCATATACTTAAAAAAGAGAAAGTAATGCCCTTTCATGACACTTGTATCAGTTCATGTTCTGAAATCTGCGCAGCAGTTATGTAGCATTAGGACAAATATGTTTGTTCAGCTCTCACAAGACCATCAGCAGTCTTCATAACAGCTTCTCAAAATAAAGAATGTGAGAGGGAAGATGGCAGCCAGAGTAGGGCTGGAGCTTAATAGGTAGTGCTGTGTAAAAGCTCTCACTTTACCTGCTTCTTAAATAAATGCTATATGATGGTCCTATTTTTAGTCATGTCATTTGCAGGAATGTTTCAAGAAAATATGTCACTGTCAAACTAAAATTGTAGTTTAGTTTCCCTTTATTTATCCTATATATATTTACTTAGCCTGAAAATTATGTGGCAATTAACACTGGAAGCACTGAGCAGTCCTAAACACTTCCTTCTCACTTCTGTCAGTGTGCAGTACAATTAAAAGGTACTTTTTAGAACTATTCTGGGAAGATGTAATAGCAGCATCTCACTCAAAACTACTCATTTTCCTGCCATCTTTCTATGTATCATTTCCAGTCAGTGGTGAGATCAGCTTTGTCCATTAAGAGCATATGCAATTTTATATCTAAGCTCTGTGTATAAAAAGTAATTCTTAAAGCTTTGAAGTCTCTTAAGTGAAGAAATTACTCACTTGGCAAGAAATTTATCATTCTTGCTGACTCCTTTCCCAATAGGAAGGAAGATCTTTGTTTCCTTAGAGATAGTTTTTTTTCCATTTCCTTTTGAGTATATTCACAAAACCAAAAGAATACAAAACCTAATAACTGCAGGAAAGCAGTTATATCCTCTTTTATGGCTGCAGTCTAACATCTTTTACCTTCACAGAAGAAGCCTTGGCTTCACTGTGTAATTAATTAGTATCTATCTCAATACAAAAGATCAAAAAATATTCTTCTCATCACTTTCCAAATCCTTCCCATTAAATAGCGGGACAAAGTTTGGCACCCTCGTCGTTCACTACAGTAACTCACCACACTGAGAAGTGCACAACAAACAAACAAAAATGGCTTTATTTGGGAAGCACTGCAGTTCCAAAACTCTCCAGGCTTCCGAAAATTCGTGGTGTCAAGTGAGCATTGCATCCCTACATGCTGTGTTGTGCCTGAAAAATTCTGAATATTTTTTTAAGGGAAAAACAGAAAGTTCTTAAGGTCTTAAAAGGGGTTTTGAGATTTCTTGCAACCCTTACAGCCCCAGTGTCCTGCCAACTGGACAGAAAATGCAGAGAGTACTGTCAGTGAGGGAACTGTGGGAAGATGACTGAGGGTAAAAAGATAACAGTACCGAAGTTATAGGGAAAAATACAGTTGCTACTCCCTGGATGGAATGCAGTCAGCACACCTGACCTCCCACAGGCAATACAATCTAAAGGTGACTAAACAAACGGAGGGTGGAGTGGAGTGCATACACCACGGTCAGGCTCTCTCAAATCCTTGCAGAGGAGGGGACTCAATGGTACTTCCTAGCTGATAAGCCACACAGCAGCTGAAAAACAAGGGAGATAAAGGAAGATGGACTGACACATGGACCTGTCCCAAGGCTATCTCGGCTACTATACTGAAATGCTTACCCCCAAGGTACGACCACCCCCCAATGAGTAAGATGTGTGACTAAAGTCACTCAAACACCACCTAAATATAAAAGAATAGTATAAAAGTTAGTTATGAATGGGGAGAACTCAGGGAAGACTCCAGAGTAAATTCTGGAATCAGTCAACAGGCTGAACCTCTCCCCCTCCGATGCCTATTGGGCAAGAACCGTACTCTATGCACCCTGAATTATCATCTCAAAGTAACTTTTGTTAGGAATTAGAGCTTGTTAGTGTACTGCTTTGAATTACTATATTGCTATGATACGTTTTTGCAGTAAAATACTACCACAGGCTATCAAATCTTACCCTGTCACAATTTTATTAATAAAGAGTGTTATTCCGTAACGTGTTCATGTGAGCCCTTCAAGGGCATTGACAGACTAATCAGACATTAAAAGCTTGAGAAAATCTCCCTTTTTCACACAACAGGCACTTGAGGTGGATGGAAACCTAGACTGCAAAGAAGAAGAGATCTGATGGGAGAAGTCCTCAGTGTGGTGTTGCCATCTTTAAATAAGCCCTGGACAACGGCTGCTTGTCGGCTTCTTTCCCAGAGGCTATTTTGGGGAGAATCATGAGAAATTCATGCGCAATGAAATGACCATGTCTAATTATCCACCCACTCACCTTCCACAGAGGATGACACAGGCAGAGAGCCTTTAAGTTCAGTCAGCCCACACAGACACCCTTTTTTTTTGTTTTCATAATCTTATTAAAGGATCAGGACTCATGACTTGATCAAGGAATACATATCAAAGCAATTTTAAAAAATGTAACCCAATCTGCCAATTTTTAGAATGGCATTCTCACTGGATTTTTTTCTAAGATGAAGTTCATCTTCAGACTTGCATTTCCCAAGCAAATATTCTACTGTAGCCTCTTGGAGGCCCATGTCATAAATTATTGCTTGAGTCAGTTGAAATAAACCAAAACCAACCAAACACCCCGTCACTGGAAGTTGGCCCTGAAAAAAAAAAATTCTAAGAAGGCAAAGCAATGATAATTTAATGAGAAAATGTTGCTGGAATTTTTGATGGTGTTTTTGAAGAATATTTTGGAGCAGCAGTGAACTGAATGTTAAACTTCTATTTTTATGAAAATTAACATTTTCGTAAACAGAATATTTGTTCCTCATTTCAAGTAGTATCTTCTGGAGTGCTTGTTGTTTGTTTTTAATAAAAGGCAATAACATTTGGAGAAGAAAAAACAAAAAAAATGTTCTAAAACAAACCAAATTAATTTATAGTTCACGCATCATCAGAAACTATGCTTCTATAACCTAAGGAGTACTTATATACTGTGTGTGTGTGTGTGTGTGTGTGTGGGGGGGGGGCAATGTATGTGTGCACTGAGATATGACTGTTTGTGTAACTGAATATTTCTCAGTTTCTTTCACAAGCATCTGCAGAAGAAAGGCAAGAGGCCACCTCACAGTTTCATAGGTATGATCAGAATCTCATATGGAATAAAATGAGTCCATTAAGTGGGTATCTACAATGTGATATCTTCATGAAATAAATTAACACAATACATGCCATTTTTGTCTCCCAGTAATGTACCAATAAAACTAATACTTGAAGACAGTACCATGAAAAAAAAATCAAACAAACACATTCCTCTAGAAGAAAGGAATAATTCTCCCTGTGGAGCCTTGTGGTTGCCTTTGTGTCTTCAGGTTACCTGGTCATGCCTTTCACAGGTTTCCAGTTATTCAACATCAACCTTATTTCCAGTGAAGTCATGGAGCTCACTAGCATCAGAGCCCAGAAACCAGGCAAAAGGCCTCTATTGCACTTCAAGATATTTATTAAAAAGTCTATTGTCTTTAGCAAAAAGTATTTTGGTAATGTAGATTTTTTTTTTTCTTTTTAAATTCAAACATTATATTGAAGGAATCTGGGTATACCAGCTTTCAGACTATAAAATCCCTGGGAACTAAGGAAAAAGCTGCCTTATCTAGCCCTCCACTGCATTGTTCCGGGTGTAATCGCATTCCTAGGGGATGGCTGACTGCCTGACATGGGGCTTTAGCAGAGTTGGGTTTTTACACAGAGCACTTAGAGTGGCTTGGGGAATGCTTCTGATCCTTGGCCAGTCGTCTGGTGCCTTGAGGAAAGGGCTGGTGAGAAGAATGCTGTGCTCCCTGTCACATGGCGGCACATGACCAGGAGGAGGACATTTCAATGCCACATAAAAGGTGGTGCTCGGCCTAACGAGGGAGTTGCGTTTCTGCTTTTTTTTCCCTCTTTTCCTTCAGGAAATTCGGTTAAGATCTGCTGTAGCAGGCAAACCAGGAGCAGATGCTATCATGTGGCTGCTGCATCAATGAATGGCTGCCAGTGTTTTCGTGCTTCCTGAGCCTTGGTGCCCCTGAGGGGGGAGGGTGCTGCAAGGACAACCCCGCCACCACAGCTGGTTCCTTACATCGCGCAAAAACAGCCCCACCGCTTTGTTTCAAAACCTATGTCTTCAAAAAGTACCAGTTTCAATAAGCATGATGAAAGAGGTGGTGTTTGGTTCTACACGTTTTCAAGACTTTTCTGGAGGCTCACAGGAGGCAGCTGGACAACAAGGATCCAAGGCCTCCATTTACCCTCTGAGTTGCCCTCAGCTATGCAGTGGGAATGTGTGCAGAGGGAGGCAGAGGAAAGCTGGTGAAAAACTAGGGTAGGACAAGGCTTCGTGGACAAAGTTTGTCTTAATTAACAGACTTGTCATCCTCCCACTCACCAGATGGAGGTGCATGTCTCAATCCACCCCTTAAGACCTGGTGTCCTACTAACAGAAGCAGGGCAAGAGGCTGCCTGAACCTCATCCCAATACAACACCAGGGCACAAAGAGACTCACAGTGCCCTCTGTACTGCCACACACAACAGGACAGAGCCCAGGACAGAGCTGCCACCTTGCCAGCTTCCTCAGCTCTCAGCGCTGGCTTTGCAAAGCAACAAGTGTCCCCTATGGAGAAGCCTGAAAGATTAAAAAGCTTCTTGCCACCCCAAAATGTGATAAGCCCCAGCAAAGAAGAGATGCAGGAGCAGCAGAAAGTCTTCCCATCATTTTCATCACTGGATGGTTTCCCTGATAGCTGCATGCTCAAATTTTCTCAGCCTTTTGAAAATTTTACCTACAAAAAACCCATAGTGAGTTTAGCACCCTGAATGCTTAAGAGTTTGCTTGGAGAGCTGCAGTGTGAGAATCAAATTTCCATACAGCTCACGGTATACCCTAAGGAACATAAATCCAGAAAATAGATTCATCCCAGGATTCCTGGACTTGACTGTCTCCCTATTTTACTTTCAGTAAGACTGCACCTCCTTCAGCTGCCAGCTTGAATGTCCACACATATCCATGTCTGTTCCTTAAAGAATGAATGACCCAGACATCATCTGACCCGTCTTATGTTAACTACCACATGTTTTAGTGATTTGCATCTAGGATTACTCTAAACTTGAGGATTCCATAAAAGTTAAGAAAATTTTTTGAGATCAGATTCATCACAAACACACAGAGGCAATTACTGAAGTGCAAGTCAAGTATGGACATACAGGGGATGGGGAGATCACATTTAACTTTTCGCTTTCTAGCTGTCTCCATGTATTTGGTCTACAAGACCAGAAGAAGGGTTTAATGAGAGTTGTAGTTAGGATTTTGGTATTCAGACATATGGTGGACCTCATAAACACAGACCTTTGGTATGCAAGAAATCTGCCTATTCAAGTTGTTTATTATTTTATTAGTACTCATATTTCAACTTTGCAATTAGCCTGAACATCTGGCCAAATAAAATAGTAATTAAATGTATGAGGCTGGCAGGTCAAATACAGTTCCATATGTCCTCTTCCACAAACAGAAAACAACTAGGAGTGTTTAAGAACAGGATATGAGAAGGCACTTTTTCCACAAGCTTTCATTTTATCTTTAAGTGCTTAAAAATAAGTTTTGGTGAATACAGAGAACACTTACTGTGTGTGGTTGGAATTGATAAGCAGGCTGGGAGTTGAGAAAAGGGTTAAATAGAGGCAATTCTGCCCTGTATGTATAGATATCCTCTGTATGAGATTCCACTACAGCAATTATATTTCAGTAATATTATATATTAGATTCAACTGCGCTTTTTTTATTTACATTTTTTCTTTTAATAAATTCAGAAAGGCCTAAAATTGACAACTGCTGTAGTCTTGAAACAAAACTTTAGCTACATTTATTTTATTAGACAGTATCTGATCTTGTTTTACTTCTGTTTACTTCTCCCCTGAGTCACACCTTGCTATTCCAGAGAAACAGCTGCTTCCTGCTCACGAATGGAAGAGCTGTGTGACTGTGGAAGTGAGCCCCTCCCAGAGATAGTGTAAGATGAAGACCATAGACAATGACTGCATCTGTGGACTTCAGTACTGACAAGAGCTCTCCCTTGTTAACCCAAGCCATGTTTGAAACACACCTTAGAAAACAAATATTCAGGCCAGAGACAAGCACTTTCCATATTCACCAGAGCAGCCTGCATAATAACTAAGCAGACACAAATTATCATCAAAATGAAAGCCAGGATGTTTTCCTGTGTGCTGGCAAGCACAAGGTTCCTCTCAGTGGGCAGTGGATGGCACATTTAACAAGGCAGTGTTCAGGCTGGTGTTACAGCTGTGCTGCCCAGGACCTGCTGTCTAAGCTTGCCCTTGCTGACCCTTGGAGCACACACTTAGTTTCCCTCAAAGTGAAGCCATCTGCGGTAGCCTGTGGCTGTCCCATCATGTGCATGCAGCAAGGACAGGCACTGGGGGCAATCAGGAGATGTACCTCAAAAGCACGTTCCTGGTGGGAAGAGAGAGGCATCTGCTGCAGTACTTGCAGAAGACAATGATTTCTTGAATGATGAGGCAAAAACAAGGTTTGTGTGAGGTGAAATCAAATGCAGTCATGGTTACAAATGGGTAGAACCAATTATCACCCCGTTTCAAGCTGTGAAGGAATGCCTCCTGTACATCCACTGGAGGCTGGGAACAGCAGGTAAGGAAGCTCTCCTCACACCTACTTCCTTTTTAAGTCAAAAATCACTATCAGTTTGCTCTGCAATGCTCCATATAATTTTCTCAGTGCATCAAAATTAAGTTAGTTGTCTTTCTTAAGCTCTCAAATGAGTCCTAACTTTTCCTGATGACATCCCCCTAGATTGCTAATACACAGGCACACCACACTCACCCCAAGGACAATCTTGAAAGAACAAGAAAAGGTGAAGAGCAAAGCATGGCCCTTGCAGAGGGCTGTCCCATCACAGGAGTGCTCCAGTGCCAGCAGCCACCTGGCACTGCTCAGGGCCTGCTCACAGCCTTGCAGGCACCAGGACTGGGACACACTATCTGCCCCTGTCCCACATGTGCCCTGGAGAAGTGAAGAGAGGGAGGGATTAGTCATTCAGTCATCTCACAGGGCCTCTGGCTACAGCCTGTCACCTCACGAGTGTTTTTGTACCACATAATTATTCCTGTGAAGCCAGAGACTGTTAATTTTGGTTTAGGGTTTTGCAGCTTGGCTCACACCATAGCATCTGAAAAGGTTTACTAAACAATTCCACCTCCACATTTTTCCTGCTCTTTTGACCTCAATTGTGATGAGTATTGCACTGAAAAATGCTCTCTATTTCAAAAGGATCGATACAGTCTGCTCCTAAGTCTGCATGCTTTCTCTTCATACTTAAATAGGTAACAAATGACTATGATAAAATGAAAGGGTCTGGTGATCTGCCAGTAGTCCTGACAATAAGAACAGCAATAAAAAGTCATAAAGCCACAAAGGTTTCTACAGGGCACAATTCAAAAGACTAGCCACAAACCAACCACAGCTCTGTAATGATCTGCCTAAATAGTTGTCCAATCATTGTTTAATGCCTTTGTATCAAACAATTAGCTCAAGAAGCCAATTTATTTAAATGAGCCAATCAATATTTTCCAGCAGTGGTTCTGCTGATCCTGAATGCTTAACCGTCCTGGGACTCCCCTGAATAATTAACACACGAGCCTAAGCTTCATCTTGTTATTGCATTAACCTTTCATCTGTCTTTAACAAGTTTTTTATTTTTTCTTTTTTCCAGTAACTGAAACTGAACTGGGTTGGAAAAGGAAGGTGGGAACAGCCAGTGAAGTTCAGCCAAAGTGGATGTGAGCAGGGCTTAAAGCCCAGCCCTGGCCACATGCTGAAGCAAGGGAGGGCTGTTCTCTGGGCTCAAGGGGCTTCCACCAGGCCACTGGTCAAACTGTTGTAAACAGCTTCCAGCACAAACAGACTTCAACCGTATCACTTCTACTTTCGATACAAAGTCAAAAGCCTAGAGTAGACATGGTCATAATTCTTTCTTAACTTTCAACCAATCTGGGGAGTTGTTTGGATATAGGTACTTAGGGCTCTCTAGCAAAAGAAGAATGTATCTGAGAAAATAATAAGAATGGATGTAATATCTATTCGTTCAGAGCCCACCTCAGAGAAAGGTCTATTGATTCTGTTCGTTCTATTATGAGCACTCAGAGCATCGAAGTGTTTTATGCAAATGTTATCTCTTAATGCACCTGCCCCAACAGTCATAATCCTGTTTGGTAAGTACACATAAGGACCAAGCTGAATCCATACTAGAAAATAGTTTGAAGGGTTATTTTTGCTTGAACCAGGAGTGAACTGAAACCATTATTCTGAAGTGTTTGTGGAGCCTGTGCTGGGCTTGATTTTTTTTTTTAAAAGCTTTTCAGCTCCCTAGATAAAACCACACCAAAACTACACAAAAACAAGCTAAAAGAAGACTATGTCAGTGAGAGTCTACACAAACAGGAAATATTTGTGCTTAAGTCAGAGTTTGCTGTCACTAACGCTTTACCAAACTGTCAAGGCTGGAAATGGTGCCTCAGAAATCCTTGAGCTGTAATTCTCGGTGAGGAATTTTATGCTGAGCAAGACAAGCAAGGCAACACATTTAAAAACCCAACACATTAATAGTCCATTTATTTAAACAAGAGTCTTTTACTGGATGGAAGTTACAAGAGAGATTAAAACAAAATGGATGAAAATTAATTGTAAGAAACATATATCTTTGCAGAGATATGCTCCTGCTGAAAAAGGATCAAGCCTTTATACGTTTTTATATGTGTCCTAGAAGGCAAATGAAGACATAAATCTTATCTCTCTGTCTCACATGCTCTTTCACACACTCTCACAAGTTATAGGAAATAACATCAAGCCATTGAGCACAAACCCAATTCCAGAGGATGCAATGCTTCCCATATTGACATGGTTTTATGAGTATTGACAATGTGAAAAGTTGGACCCAGCTCAGCATCTAAAACTACCAGCCCTGGTAGATGGGAGAGCTTCTGGTTAACCTCTCATCACTGCTAGTGTTACCTTCGGACAACATGCTTATAGCCTCATCGGTCTGCTGGCTGTCAGTTGTCGATATCTTCTTTGAATCATGGATGTTGCTTTGGTAGTTCACTGGTGAGGGATAGGCATTCTCCCCCGCAGTCGATGAGGACATAGATTCCCAGGGTATTTCTCTTTTTCGCCATTTCAGGTCCACTTTCCATCCTGTCCACCCATAGAAAGCTAACGTGAAAAGAAAGCCTTGCATCGGATTAAGAACCCCCTGGGAAAGAGAAGTACAACAGGAATTACACCAGCAGGGCTTCATTTTGAGCTCCAGCAAAATGTTTAAAATATGCTATTTGCATGCAAATAAAAATGGATTTTTTTGGCCATTGCAGACACAAACAAATCAGAGTAAAATACCATGACGTGTTGTTCTAAAATGGCCAAGGACATCCCAGAGAACAGTAAGCACCAAATGACTTTTCAGTATGAATTTTAGCCAGTCAATCTCCTGGTGTGTTTTTAACTTTCCCCACAAATTCTAGACTTTTTTATTCATGAAAACAAATACTTTTTTTCATTAGAAACCAAGTCAAATATATGAGAATAGGCACTAGCATACACAGACAAGCTTTTCAAATTAACAGGAATTGATCTATCTGGAATTCCTTTAGATTCTTGAGCCAGTGAAAATATCCATCAAAGTGAGACAGAAAAATGGGGAGAGGCACTGAAAAAGAAAATCTCAAGTGATCTCCAAAAAACTTTGCCTCTTCTCAGTGCCATGGGATGCTTAGCAAGTTAATGGCTTTAGCTGCTTCCATTTTTCTCACAGGAAAAGAGGAAATTATTTTTACAGCCAATTTTAAAAATAGTTCAGTTCCTAGACTTGACCTCTTGCTCTCTAGGTGAGCAAGAACAAGGTCTCTGTCACATGAATGTGTTCACTCCTTCTCAGGAGGGGACATTGTATTAAATCAGTTGCATCACTTAATCCTTCAATATCAAACTGCTCAAGGGCTTAACTTGACAAAGGATGCTCAGGTCTTACAGCTATTTAACAGCTCCAGAACAAATCCTCTTGGAAAAGGAACATGCAACATCACCTCTGAAAAAATCTCTTGTCAAACATTCTAGTAGGAGAAAAGAGGGTAAGGTACAGCAATAGAACAGCATCTTACAGCTATTTTTGGTGCCTTGTTTCCAAGATTTTTCCTCTATTTGTCCCCAAATAATGACCAGAATGTCAAGATATAGGATGTAATTATTCTTTAAAATTAGTTGCAAACAGAGAATTGCCATAAAATGCCCATTTAATGAGGAAACCTTCAGGAATTGTGAGCTAAAACTTTGCAGCTTGCATTATTGCAGAGATTAGCAAGATTAGGCTAGAAATCATTGTAGTGGTTTGTTCTGGATCCTAAAATGGGTAGTGATCACTCAAAGAGAGAATGCATACTCCAGTAAATGGGAGAAAAAGTTGGTCTCTAATACATTTTTGTGCAAGTGTCTATGAGAAATGTGCTCCCAGTGACTGCTCATTCCTTCCTCTTACTTAATGATTTTCTTCCTTGATTTTCAGAGTGTTTATATCCCCCAAAATCAAAACCCACATAGTATACTGGTGTTGTTCCACCAGTCTTATAACAGTGATTTCTAAGACTAAGTAATGTCACTGTTGACCTACCATTATAATCCATGTGATCAGTGCAGCACTTCTGATGTTTTTCAGGGGTGTTTCATTGATATCTGGCTGCATTTCGAGATAGAACAAAAGGGTCTCATTGATGATATTGGATGACCAGCTATTGGAGGAGCAAAGAAGAAAAAGACAGTTACATACATGTATATACATGTAAAATATGCTTTACCTTTAAATTACAGAAATTAGGATAATTAACAAGGACAGTAAGATTTTTTTTTTTTTAATCATAGAATCATTAAGGTTGGAAAAGACCTCTAAGATCATCAAGTCCAACACAGCTGGACTTGGTAAATCTCAATCTGAAAGCACTAGTAGGTTTCTGAGATCATGATCAGAAACCAGACACCTACCCAGACAACTAGCCCAGGCCTAGACAAAGAAGTCAACACAAAAAACCAACAAACAAACAAATGGAATCTGATGATTTGAACTTGCTGCAGAACAGTGACAATAAATTGCAGAATAAAACTGAGATGAAAAGCAACTGTGATCCATAATGGGAATATCATTCATGCTGACTTTTTTCACTGGTGCCTTGAAAGAGTTGAGCTCACAGATAAGGAAACCAAATACATGCACATGTTGCAGTAAAAAGCCTTAGGAATTCCAGCTGGAGTTGGAATTTCAGGGTTAGATTACAGCAAACTTTCAAAATGTCCATAAAAAAACCCTACAAAGCAATATCAAAGTTGACTTTAAAACCCTTGAAAATGCTATCAATTTTTTTGAGTAAAGGTAATACTTGTTTCCAAATAAGGATGAGGATAATCAAGCCTCATTATGTGAAAGAAACTGAGTATGTTCTACACTAAATAAAGGTTATAGCAAGTGGCTGTTATTTCCTATGACTTCTAAACAGTTAGACCAGCATTTCTTTATTAGTTCTACTGCAGCTTCAGAAAAGTAACCATCAGCATCCATGTCATACTTTCCAAAGGGTTTTATGTATTTGCTTCCCCCAATTATATTTTATCACAGTGTAAAACCTCCTGCTCTCCTCTCCCAAATCTGTAGGCATCTCTTCTACCCCATGTTGCCCCAACCTGCTGTCTTTGACTAAGTCATCCCAGATTTGACTTCTGGGATGGAAGGAAATCTTCTGTAAGCTTCTGAGAGGGGACTGCCTCAGTCTCTTTCCCTCCAGTAATCTCTGAGAGAGGTTTTTACACTCTAAAACCTATGTTTTATGAGAACAAAATCCTAAACCTGAGCTGTGATTAATTTGTTTTTTCAATGGGAAAACCCAGAATGAGACATAATGGAAATAAACAAATGTCCCCACAGTGTCCATGGGAAATTGGCTTTTTCTTTCATGCTTGATCCCAGGTCATCAAGCTGGCCACCATTCCTTAGGCTGCAACACACTTCTGTAGTGCCTCTGGGCTCTTTCTTTCCACAGCACTGGAAGCTTGACTAAATCTCTGCTCCTCATTATTTCATCACTTTCCAGGAAGCCATGCCTCAGGATCCTTTCCTGCTGTCTCTCTCTCCTTTCTCTGCTGGCTACCCTACCCTTCACACTGGAAACTTCACTTCCAAGCCAAGTGGGCTCAGTTATTCCCTAAGAAAAGATAATCATTTCCCCTCAGAGCACTCCAGCAGCCAAGATAAGATAAAAAAGAGAGCCTTTCTCCCTGCTCAGCCTTTTAAAGCAATGTAACATGCATTAATACACCTGAGTATAAAAAAATTAAGTAGTTATAAAAGACTGTAAGTTTGGCCAAGTCATTTCACTACTCTAGGACTATTTCCTGTTGCCTCAATCCTCTCCTCCCTGTCCTACTGTCTCTTTCCTATCCTACCTCAAAGTACTATTTTCATGGAGAAAGATGGAACACTAAAAAAAAAAAATAAAAAAAAAATTAAATAATCAGAAATTTCACACAATGAAGCAAATGATCAGGCTTTACTCTTGTCCCTGACCCTTTCCACCTGGGAAAAAGGCAGAAATAATGCATCTCTTACCAAATAACAAATACCAGCATAATTTTGAAGAAGCGCATCTGGATCTCTGTTCCCAGACGTCTTTCATTCTCCGTGTAAATCCCTTGTCTTCCTTTCAGTAAGGAGGCAACTGGAAAGTATACAATTATGTTCATTAGTATACATGTATCTTGTTAGTTTAGGCACAAGAATCCAGAAGGCAGATGCCTGTAAAGAGGGTACAAAGGAACAAATGGATTTGTCCCCAGCAGCAGTTCAGAAGCTGGAAGGACCGTCATCAAGGAATCTCACATACAGCCTAACACTAAAGGAAAATAATTACACACATTTGGATTCCTAAAACAACCCACAAGTCAGTTTCTCTTCTCTCAGTCCCCCTAAATATATTCAATAGTATGGTCAACATACTTTTATTTTATAACTACAGGTAGTGCATACAACTTCTATACAATGTGTGATATAATTATACACTTACTACGTGATGTTCAGACTAAAATAGAATAGATTCTATCCTATTATACACATTTTATTTCACTGTGTCATTGATAAAGCATTAGCTACACCTCTAAAACTTGAAGATCAAATGTCAGAAAAAATAATTATGCCACATGCTGTTCAGATGTCACAAGGAATATACAAATGCACAAAAACATACTCTATGTATTTTCCCATAAAAAGGGCAAGTTCTTACGGGAAAAACTTCTTAAAAGAACAACTGTTCCTTTGAAAATCAGCATTACTGAGAGACACAGGATAGATGGGATGAATGCTAAACTGAGAAGACTAGATCTTCTCTACTGTTTTTATATAATCAGTGTGTAGATAAATTCAGATACTGCAAACATCTAGAAATGATCATATTACATACAAAGAATGCATTGAATCTGCAGCTCATTTCTTCCAAGCAGTGGATAACAAACTAAATTGGAACTTCAAGGTCCCATCTGAGTTGTGTACAATTCCCATTTGTTTCATAATCTCAGAATCAGAAGTGACAAAATTCTGATCACATTTTATTACATTTTTAGCTCCAGGGCTGCCAAGAAGTTAAATCAGCTCTCAGATCTCACCAATGTTATCTTTAAACCAGAATAAATTACATTCCAAAGTCCAGGTTGGTATCAAAACTACAGTAGAGTTTAGCATCCACTATACATTGCCTCAAATGCTTTAAATCAAGTAACAGAAATACCTTCACCAATCTACAGTAGGGGTTTATAACAGAATAGGTTGAGTATGTCCTCAGAATGTTTCTCTAGGGCAAATTCCCCATGAAGATGGTGTCTTCATTTCAATAGGCAACTCCTTCCTACCCTTTGCTGTATTTTTATGATTTATTGAGGAGCTGTCCCGCATCACTGACTACAAAGGCATGACTTTCTACAGTACTGTTTTGATGCTAAATAACACATATTGTCTGATATTGGCCAGTAGGAACATACCTGCTGATACTGTCCTCCTAAACAGGATTGGGTTGACCACCAACACTAGCAGGAGTGGGGCATAGGTTGTGACGTAATGTGGGATTGCATGTTCCAAGCCATTTTCACAACTGAGAAGAAATCATTAAAAGCTTATGCATTTTTTCCCCCATAGTTGACAGTTCTGGCTATTCTATGTCACTTTTAACTTAAAAAAAAAATAAAAAAAGGAAAGAAGCAAACAGATGCAAAACTTATTCATAGATCTTCACCACCAGTTCATATTGGACATAAAGCTGATTTTTAACATGCACTGTCTTTGTACTTTTTCTCAAATTTAAAGGAAAGTTAAATCAGGAGTGAGAGAGCAGTGGCTCACAGCAGAAGCCGTGTCACAGCCCTGCAGCATGCCCAAGTGCCTGTATTGCCCTGTATTCTTCTGGGCCCCCTGAAACCCAGGGAGGTATTTCTAGCATACTCACTGGCTCAGTGGGACATGCCTGTCAGAGGTCAAAATGTCCAGCTTTTGGATGTCTGTCTCTAAAGCTGACCAAACGACTTTCAAATGACCAGCGAGTGCTACGATTTTGCGGTCTGTTCCCAGAGTTCTGCTTACCTGGAGATAGAAGGGTAGTAAAGCAGTGCAATCCCCTCCACGCAGAGCAGCACCGCAAGGCCCCACGTCATCATGTGGTACAGCACAATGGTACTGCAAGCACCAAACGGGACAGGCACAATTAAAGATATCAGAGTTTACGCTTTCCATGTTGCAAGGTAAAAATAGGACCTTCACTGAAAAAGAGCTTTACAGATAGGAAATTATGCAGAACAACACTGGAAGTACATTAAACTAAGGAAAGCAGGGGTGGCAGGGGGGCTCCTTCAGAAGAAAAATGAACCAAAGCAAAGTTGTTCAGGTCCTGTCCCCTCCAGCCTGTAGGGTAGAGGGTCAGGACTTCTTGTCTTCCATTTATCCAGAAGGAACCCCTGCATCTTTAATTTCTCCTGCAGACAGCAAATTAGCAGATTTAAATTTAAGGATGGAGCTGAACAGTCAAATAAAACACTCACTGAATTTGAAGAGAACTGTGTTTAATTTTCAGAGTTGGATACTTCTCCTGTCTTAGAGAGATTCAGATCTGTGTGTGTAGAAAGTCTTTTGATGTTTACTCTGATCTTAGAATCAAGCACGAATACACATGATTTTTTTGGCTAACAGGGAAGGGGGAAGGAAGCAGGGCCCAGATGTTTCAGACTAGAACTATGGACTTTACAAAATCAGGTTTATCCTCAACAGTCTGAAATTAACTGAGAAAGCCCCATCTTGGTAACATTTGCCATAAGAACCATATCTTCTGTCCCTGACTGCTCAGTATCCTCTGGGAACAGAGGCACATAATTCCACATTTAGCAGTAGCAACTGAAGGTTATTTTGTTCTTTTAACAACCAACTTAGAGACATCAGATATTTTCTGTCTGGTAATAAAGCATGGTATTTTCCAAAGGGTTTAGGTTCTTCTGTCATGGGCATTGTAGAAAAATATATGGTAAATACCTTTCATTCTTCTGAGGAGCTTTACAAGTGTGATCAGAAGGGAAATAATGACCACCCTGAGAAGCGGATAAAATAGAAAATCCAAGAAAAATTTAAAAAATTTTAAAAACTATATTAAATTCAGCACTTTCCTCTCTCAATTTTTCATTTTCAGGATAACACTTTTTTTTACTGCAAGGATCAATTTCAGGTACAGAGTTGGGACCAAAATAGATATGTCACTGCCATAAAATTTATAGACCACAATTTGCTCCATATTTTTCCAAAGGTTAAATGAGTCCAGTTGCATTTAAATTCAGGTTGGATGTACATAAACATCTGAGCACTGCCCTGGCAATTTAGGTACTTGGAACACCACTCATCTCTATCATTACCTGGTAACCATAAGAACTTCAGATGGTTGTACAAACTTCACTTACACCCTTAGATAGCTGCAAACACAGATGTACAGTGTTGGAATGAAAATAACAAATTCAGAGCTTTAACTCTGGTACCTCAGTCCAGCCGATCTTCTCACCACCAAGTAAGAATCAACAGCATAGCAAAACAACCACCAGAAGCCAGCGCTATATAACAGCTGGATCCACATCTGGAGGGGAAAAAATGCCAAATGTCACAGCTGTTTCTCAAGTACCACTGGGACAGGGGAGGGACTCTGGCCTGGTGAGCTGTTCTTCAAATGTGTGTATTTGCCAGACAAAATTATGAAGTATGAAATCTTACTCAAAATCACAGGAACAGCATTGTTGTAGCCTATGGGTCAAGTCACAGGTAAATTGAGCAGTGTTTGCTTTCTCAGGTTATTTTCTAATTTAGAAAACCTGTTATTTACCTCTCCATTCCTAACCTCAGTGTCATAAGTGAAGCCCAAAGAAATTTATAGTGAGGATGTTTTAATTTTAGGTTAAAATTTTAAGTGTTTCTCAGTAGCTGAGGCATGAAAATATAACTGAGGTCAGTTATAACCACAGTATGCCTACGCATTCTCGGTTCTGCACGTGATAGGTATTTTGTCAATGCACAAGAACCTGATTCAGGGAATGGTTATCAAGAGAAAAAAGTCATTAATGAGAAAATCACTCACCCTCTGGAAAAATATCCATACTGAATTTCCTGACTGATTTCTTCAATAAAAACCCGAAGGAAACAGATTCAAGTCAAATTCAACAGCATTCTTGACCTGACCCTATGCATTTTACCCATGAGTTTGTATAAGATAAGTGATCTTTCTCTGCCACTGTATATAAATTCCACATTTCTTCCCAGAAGGAGCTGGCTCTTTGTAATAGTCTGGAACTGTTTTAATATTTGGATTACCTTCCCTCCAAGACATCTTTCAGTTCTTATCTGAATATCCTTTATCACAACTCCATAGTGGCATCATTTTACATCTGGAAACCAACACACTTTCTATTGAGCCAAATGTCAGTGAATAGAGATCAACATTCCGTCCTCTGAAAGGCAAATCAAGCAGGGAAATATTTCCTTTCACCATGGGTGTAGACCCTACCTCTCTAGTCATTTGTAGCACAAATTATTCAGCATTTAGTTCAAACACCATGACATTTGCCTTGTGCACAGGAGCCAAAAAATAAAATTCCACTCTTCCTTCTAATGCACTGAGCATGTAACTTCATCTGCACGTTTACATATTTCTGCAGTTGAAAAATGCACAATTTACTATATAGACACACATACACATATACAAAAATAAACTGCAGGGATTTTCAAAAAATCCAACATAGACAAGGCTGTCTCCAAAAAGGATATAAATCAGATGCACTTATAACCAAAATTTTCAGTGCCTGAGAGAGTACCCCTCTGCAAACCATTTAAAGGAGATGTCTAACAGCCTCACTATTTGGAATATGTATTGGCTTGTGGTTAAGTGAAATAAAACAGTGGTACAAAAATAAAAATAAAATAGAATCGGAAACATTTTATTAACTCACATGAGAATATGTATGGGAAGTGAGTGGAAGGAGGGTTAGTTTCCATTCCAATATAATTAAATCCAAAGTTAAAGTGACTAAAATTACAGCATTTTACTAGAGTCCAAGAAGGGGAAAATAAAAATTGTGGTAGACGGTTATGTTGCTCACCATCTAACCTGAAATTCAAATGAAAAACAAGCAGTCTGCATACAGTATCTTGTCATCATTGAAAAATATTATTTTTTGTGTTAAGGGCTAGAAAGTGAAATTTAAAACATGAGGAAACACAGGTTTTGAATAGGACATTCTTGCTACAAGATACTGATGTTGTTGGTTTCCTCTTTTTTGAAGAAAAAAATTTCAGTATATGCATCCAATAAGCAAAAAAACATGTATGTTAGAACTGAAAAGCAATAGGTGCATGCAATTTGTATTTGTGTATATGGCACAAAACTATCATGTTTGAAATTGCCATTATATAGGCATACAAGGCACAGTGAGTTCAATTTGGCACATATTGTTCTATTTACAAACTATTGAATAATTTCCTTTACATGCAGCATATCCACTTCTACACTGTACACTTTGAATTGCAAATCTAATACTGTTATTGATCATGCATTGTCTTATTTGTCATTCTCCATGTTTTGGTAAAAAATGTGACCTTTATTCTTGTGTAGTAAACTCAAATTATATGTCTCGGACAGTATTATGATTGTAAAATTTGGAACTGAGTTTTAATCTGTACTTTTGGAATGCATTTACATTTTCTGTTCTTTTGTTTTAATCCAGAAGATACTTAATTCGACTTGGCCAGATGCATTCACTGAATGCCCATATAAGCAGCAATCTGAGCTATAATCCTACATGGCAGGGACAGATCTTCTGCCAGCAGCTTTGCAGCTTTGAGTATATTTACCTTTCATTTCCTCTGTGTCTAAAACACACCTGCTCATGCCACAAAGGCTAATTTGAGCTACCCAAGTTGCTGGTTTCAAGAGGTCCCTGCTGTCACCACACAGGCTGTAGTTTCTGACAGAGAAGGTGGGAAGATAACCTCATGCTGCCAGTGCAACAGAGCCACTGGGGTATTAGTGTTAGCAGTGGTTCTCAGCCCTTTGCTTATACCCTTATGGCTCTATATTCCTGACTTTAGTACAGGTGTGTCCTCCACTACCCTGGCACTCCTGCAATGAGTGAATGCTAAAAATCTCTTGGGATCACTTTGACCTGTGCTGCCCTAAATCCTCACAGGCACCACGCAGCATGGTGTAGCACTCTGCCTGTCCTGATCCAGGCTCTCAGAGGGAGGCATGAATGCACTTGCAGGGGTGTGGCAGAGGCTGAAACCACCATATCCAGGCTCTGACTCACAGCTGCATTTCCTTTTGGACACAGTAGTTTGCCTTTCAGACTCCCCACATGGAGGGACTGTTAACTGGGAGGAGGAGAAAGGGGGGATGGTCTCTGTACCTACCGCACTCCCCACGCAGAAAGCGGAAGGCCACACATCAGTCCCGTTCACCACAGAAATGTTAGCTATGAAGCCTGGGAAGCCTAGCCATACACTTGACCTAAAGATCATACCTAAAGACAAAAAAAGTATTAATGCTTTGAATCTGCTGGTGTGATTTGAGTCACATGCTTTCCCCTGGCCACATATTTCACATCGCAGCCCAGATTTTGTGTGTGTCCCGGAAGGCGATGGCTGCAGAGGAGCACAGTAGGGACAACTGTGTTATTTAAATGTCAGTGTAATCGTTCAGGGAAAGCAGCCCCAAGAGTCGGAAGCTGTTGGGACTTGCAATATTATGTAGATTAAAATCTCACTTACTTACAGATGGTCTGACACACTTCTTTAAAATAAACTGAGTAGCAGTTAACAGATTGACATAAACCAGTCACTAACTATTACAATTTTACCAGCATATATTCATATGCTGATATTCATTTCTCTATAATTCCTCATTGCAGAAAAAAGGTTTATTTCCTACTTTTCACTGCCTTCATTTTTACAAGCAACTCTTTTCCTCTGTCACAGGACTGAACCAAAGCAGGTCTTCAGAATTAGGTCAGAACAATACCCTTTTTTAAAAGAGAGTTTGTTAGTGAGGTTTTCTGGGTTTTCTTGAAATAAAGCACCAACATATAACAAAACAAACCCCCCAGATTTTCCACCAAGAGTGAACTGTTTCCCACCCACCAAAGTGAGTCTAATACAAAGACAATACTGAATAACCAGTTTGAGTTTGCCTGTGAAAGAGAAAGGGAAAAAAAAACCTCTACTGGCCTCATCTTACTAAAAGGACCTTTTCCAGGTGAATGCACACATGTATTTTCTATATCCCTTTCTTTATTTCCCCCTATAATGTTTGTTTTAGTATTGGTATTTACTAGGCACTGTGAGAGAACCTGGCTAGGTGTGAAAGGGGAAAAGACCTGAAACACACAGACACACATACACACACAGACACCCCCTTCCCCATCCCCAGAAGCGAGATACAAAACAGCACTGTGTACCTAATGTGAAGGAAAAAATGCCACTGTAGAAACAAATTTGTCCTGTATTTTCATGTGTCATGGTAATTTATACACAATTTGGCCGTAAATGACTGATGGGACAGCTTAAGACACATTAGTTTCATTTTGACTCATGTATTTTTTATTCTCTGCTGCTCTGTTCCTCCAGCTGATCAGTCAGGGGCTGGACAGCAGGTTATCCTTGATAAAGGAGCTTCACTCGCATTTCAAAAGCCTGTGTCCAGCTGCAATTCAAACTCGCTTGCTGTCAATGTGATGTGCCCACAGAAGCGGTGGGCACATGAACAAGAAGCACACTTGGTCTGAGAAGATTTAAAGACATAGAGGATAGTGGTTTTCAAATGTAGTCCTTAGGACTGGCTAAGTGTTTAATGTCAGGTTTAATTTTCAATGTGCTGCATCACCGCCACTTTTATGCCTTACTCTGAGGACCTGTCACCATTCTGGATTTTAATTTGTTTTAAAGCACAGATTTTGGTGTAGATTTGTCAAGTGCTTTCACTTCTGAAGTATAACTATTAAACAAGAACTTTCTCCTGAAAAGCCTATTATTTTCTGAACTCAGCTAGCTCAAATCTTTCTGTGAACACATACAGCATGTTTTCCTCAGAAATCTCTGCTATCCATTCACCAGTTTCATTTGTCTATGGTACCTCAGGACAACATGAGCCTGCTACAGCAATGGCAAGGCACATCAAGTGGACACTTACCTAAACCTCCGAGAATGTCACAAATGGAGATAAGGAGAAGGATGGTGGAAGAGGAGGAGGCTTTGGGCATCTTCCGTGGGCTCTGCCCTTTCTTTGGCAGAAGCTGCAGGATGGTCAGTGTCAGACTGATGGAGGCACTGCCAATGCAAACTCCGCAGAAGACTTCAGGCTGGAAGCTCATCACTAGCTGTGTAGCTGCATCCCTGTTAGGGCAGCAGTAGGTTTCTAACCTTGGAGAAGCCATGAAATGTCCGGCTGGTGGAGGGGCCCCAGGAGCAGAAGAAAATGCTGTTGCTTACCCAAGGCAGCATTTACTTTTTCTTCACCCTCCCCATTAGTCCTTGGTGATGAGAATCACGCGATTGATGGATCATGTGCTGCTGCTGCTGCTGCTAGAAGTAAATCCCCCAGAGCTGCCTTTCTCAGCCTCTCCTAGCAAGGAGATCAGATCCGAACAAGAAAACACAGTGTAATCTGAAACATGCCCCATGCTTGCTCAGAGCCATTGGCAACAGTTCACTCACATATTTCTGTTTGCACAGTATGCGATACAGGAAGACTCAAACTCGTCAGAGCACTGAAAATGGTTTAAAATAAATAAGGATGCAGATACTAAAGTAAAAGCATTAGATTTTAATTGTGTTTCTCTTTAGCCCCATCCCACACAGAACCCTTTAATTACTGCAAATTAATTGAAAAGATGAGTCTGGATACAAGCAGCCCCAGTCTTTATAGGGAGGAGCAGGGATATAAATCCACATCCTAACCAAAGTCTTAGTTTTAGTGATCCAACTCACCCACCTCTGTAAATAAAATTAGAAACATACCCTATCACTACAGAAGGAGATTGCAACTGGGAACCTCATCCTATTTAAACGACAAGTACAAAAAATCCTCTCTTTAGTCTGTACTGTCTGCATTGGATCAGCTTGACATGGAAAATTCCAGGACTCAGAATTTCTCAATACCATTTATCTCTTTTCTTTCTTTCTTTTTTTTTTTTTTTTAATTTGGTAAGGGTTTTATATGAAAACAGGATTTTGATCTGCAACATTTGTTTTAACTTTATAAGCTAGACAATATCTTTTAAGACATGCCCTGTTAGACACAGCAGCAAATACTCACAATTATAAACACAAAAAGTAATTCTCCCCTCTTAGCTAAGCTTCAAACTCCCTGTATCAGCCCTCACCCTTCCAGAAAACTTGTTTATTGGAACACATTCAGGAAATACAGGAGTGAGCATTGCCAACAGACGAAGTCAACAGCTTGTTTATTAATATAGTCATGGATTTTATAATTAGTCCCTATAAGAAAAATTTACCTAACCTTATATTTACTTTTTATTTTTTTTCCCAGTGGTCCAGCTTAATATTTTAGCAGAAATTACAAAGGGCTAGTGAATGACAGTGGGATGTTTTGTGTGTAGTGCTTAAAAACACAGAGGTTTCAGCCAGCGTGTTTGCCCTCAGCAGAGAAAACAGCCACCAGTCCTGGGTAAAATGGTACCTGCTGCATTCTTCATTAGGAAAAATACCTTTAACACTAGATCCGAGCAAAGGAACACATCCCACCAAGCTCATCAGCCTGCTGACTCCTGGCAGGGGGTGTGCAGCCTCCCGGTGCCAGACAGTGGGAGCAGGGCTTGGGTGGCAGCTGGAGCCGAAGCTGCCAGACCTGATGTGTGTCCACCCAGCCTGTTCCAGGAGACTCCCCAGCGCTCTGCCCGGGCTACAACACTCAAAGAGCAGGATGTTAGCTTGCAAATTCAGACTCCTACACACGGATGTCCATTTGTCAGCAAGGTGTCTGAACTGCCATTATAGTCAACTGAGGTCTTAGGCAGCCAAGCTTACAGTCTAGACTTTGTCTAGAGAGCTGTGCAGCTCTTCTGAAAATAAAGGCACAGGGTGAGCTGAGCAGGTTCCTGTGACCACACTGGGAACTCAGGCATACAGACCATCAAAGACTCTGAAACCCAGGCAGCTGAGCTGAATGTTTTTTCTGGATGTTTTTGCTCCTTTACAGCATAAAGAGATTTCCCTGCTCCATGGATGAAGGGTGACCTTGATGTTGCAATCCTATTTTTTGTTGCTACTATGTATACAAAAATATATTGGCGACAGCAGGGTTGCAAAATCAGATTGCCCTGCTCCAGGTAGTCAATACAAGGCTCTGTTGTCACTACAAGTTTGGGACTCCTCAGACTCCTCCACTAGGGCAGTGGTGCATGGGATTGCCACGTTTCAGTCAAGCTACCGCAATGAAATCTACCTGGTTACTAAAGAACAGAAATTACTATCCACAGAGACAGATTATTAGTTAAAATAAAGCCATCATATGCCATATATACAATTAAAATACATATAAATTAGAATAAATTACGTTTGCTCTCATTTGAAGGGAAATTTACATTTCTTGCCTTACAACAAAACTTTAAATTATTAGACAGAAATGGACACTCATTAATAGAAGCCTTTCATTTCCACTATCAGGTTCCACAATTACTCCCCTCACTATTTATGTTGACATTTTCTTTCCTTCAAAAATTTGAAAAGCATGTCAAGTTGTTATCCTGATTGTTTGTTCTGGCTTACAGATTGGAATGTTTTGTGTGTTTTGCTTTTTCTGCTTATCATTTGTTTTCATTGATCTTGACCATGATCTTCCAGTTTGCCCACATGGATTTACCGCTTATTATTGTAACTTCTCCTTGCCTTTTTTTCAGGCACTTCGAAACTACTTTCATTCCTCAACTGTACTCTAATACTCTGGAGACTAATTTTTTATCTTTCTCTTCACTACTCTCCACAGTTTTGCCAGCTGTGAAACCTACTTTTATTGCTTTACTTCTCTGAGTGAAGGATTGGTTTTTAACCTCTTCTGGGTCCCTTCCCTCCTGTAATCTCTGAGGATTTGATTACACAGTTACTTACACAGGAAGTGTTTTTTGTTGGAAGCAAAGCATATGACCTCTAGCATACCTAATGCAAAATAGAAAACAAAGTGACTCATAAATGAATGGATACTCACCATGATACAAGTAGAGGTGTCTAAAACATGCCAACATTTGAGGCTGAATGGGAGATGGATCTGCCAAACTAATGAGCCACCCATTATCTCAGCTGGTAAAATCTAGCTAGTCTCTGGTTCTTGTTGCTGGTGTCAAATGTCAAAGTTAGAACAATCAAAGAAATTCAAAACTGGTTTTGCAGTCTTACACTTGAGATTAAACTGTCTTCCTGTGGTTATGAAAATGAGAGGATAAAAGCTGGGAACAAAGGCAAAGGAAACAGAAAAGTAGTGAAAGAAAGTAAGAGAATCATTATTTTGCCTTGTTAAGGACCATTATGTATTATTCAATAAAACTTACATCATTCTACAGGTTCTCTCTGAAATTATTGACGCAGTTCCCACTTCTGCCAGTGGTATGAAACAGACCCATGAATATGGTATTGCCTCATTTCTGCACCAAGGCAGGATCTCAGCTAAGCAAATGGTGTAGCTGGAGACAACCATTAGCACACATACAAGAAACATTAAAAATAAACCAACCAACCAACCAAAAACCCAAACAAACCAAAAAAAACCAACAAACCCCTGGCATTGCAAATACCGATCAATCACACTCACAGCATAAGTACAACATTGCATAACACTAAAAATTCCAGTCATGGTTTTGGACATGGGAAAGAGTGTGCTCAAGAATGAGAACAATACTGTGCTCCTTGCAAGGAGAACATGCGTGTACTCCATACTTTTAGAAATACCTACTCACTCTCTCCTTGGATCCAGGACATAATGTTCTATCCTGTCCATGTTCATCATTAAGATGAAACACTGGCTTCTCAGGGAAAGCAATAGGTTTACAAAAATATGACAGGCCTGAATTTCTGTTGTTAATATTTCTGTGTGTTTATGGCTTATGCTTGAGTGTGCAGCTATACATACTTCAATCATTGTTTTAATTAAATCTGGGACTACAGCACTGGTTTAGAAAGGACAAGGAAATTTGTGGATACAGAGACAGAGGATAGTTTATTTTTGTTTATATATGTAGTTCAATGCATGAATTTACAGCTCCCAATGAAGATCTTAACTACCTTACAAATGTAAAAGCTATACTCATCAATGGTTCCTTGTGGCATTTGAAAAGTATTTTGAAACACTAGAATAAATAACTGTTTCTGATATGAGATCTGATTATGCACTAGAGGATTGAAAGACAAAAAAATGTTGACTTCAGCATCAGTAGAACTTGCATGAATGAAGTCAGGGCCAAGACTTAATGATAAAATAGTGTGTCCAAATTGTCCTTTCAGATTTTAGGTACTGGTGTAAAATCAGAAGTTCATAATTTAAACAGACTTCTTTCCATCATCATCATGGCTAGGCTTCACGAACGAAGATTTGAGAAGGGCTCTACCCGCGCTTGCTACAAGCGCATTGATGGCTAAAAAGGCCAATGTGAGACAGACAAGTCCGGTTGCAGAAGGCACAGCAGAAAGACTCCCCAGGTGATATCGACAAGACGCGATTCTTTCTGCGTTGTCTTTTCTCCTCGAGAGTGATCCTGCGTGTGTTCTCAAAAGCAGCAGCAGCGTTATAGATGGTGTGTCTCCAGGCCTCCCGATTGGAGGCCAGGGTAGACCAATGCTGGTGATCAATATGGCCAAGGCTGAGGGATTGTTTCAGGCAGTCCTTGTATCTCCTCTTCGGGGCTCCTCTCTTGCGGCAGCCAGTGGCAAGTTCCCCATAGAGCACGATCTTAGGGAGATCTTAGGCACGATCCTGGAGACGTGCCCTGCCCAGCACAGCTGTGTTCTCAGCAGCATGGCCTCAATGCTCGTGATTGCTGCCTGTTCAAGGACAGACGTGTTGGTCACATAGTCAGTCCAGTGGATGTTTAGAATTGTGCGGAGGCAGCGCTGATGGAAGCGTTCTAAGAGACGCAAGTGGTGCCAGTAAATGACCCATGATTCAGACCCATGCAAAAGAGTAGACAGTACAACAGCTCTGTAAACGCTGATCTTTGTACTTTTCTTCAGGTGTTTATTACTAAAACTCTTTTATGGAGTTTAGCGAAAGCTCTGTATGCCTTTGCCAACCTGTTGTCTATCTCTTTGTCAATTTTACCGTCCGAGGAGATGATGCTTCCCAAATAATTAAACTGCTGGACTGACTTGAGCTCTGTTTCGCCAATGGTGATATGGGGATGATAGGAGACTTCCTGAGGTGCAAGTTGGTAGAAAACTTCTGTTTTCTTCAAGCTGACTTCCAGCCCTAAAAGCTCAGTAGCCTTGCAAAGCAGGATGTTAAATTCTGTAGAGCTTTCAGCAGAAAGATAGTTTGAAGAC